GTATTGTTTACTGTACACTTATTAATAGTATCTTAAATCATTCTTCATGGTATTATTTCTATACCTCGTTTGATAAATTTTACAAAATATAGTCAAACAACCTTAGTGTTAGTGAGGAATCAGTTAAAGAAAATAATGGTCGGAAGAAACAATTGACAGTTTTTTTGTTACAGAAAAGATAAGCATTACAAGGACTACACATTGAACATATAAAAACAAAGGAATGTGATTTTCATATAAATTTAATTTAAACATTATTAACGGTTTAAAATCAAAAAGGAATAGATGGGAAGAAGAAGAATAAGGAAAAAGGAACAAACAATGGAAGAAGCAAGTAATGAAGTATAAGACACGAAGGAAAATCACTACATAATTGGAATTTGTTCATAATATCCTGAAAAATAAATCCAAAATAGATTTGCTATTAACTTATGGCACCAAATTAATTACAGAGGATGTAAACACCAGAAACTGTGGACAGAATATCAGATTGAAAATAGTAGATAAAAACACAGATCTAATTGTAGGGATAAGACAAGAAGACCAAGCCTGTTTGGGTCTCGGAAATGAAGAATTAAAAAATATATATGCGAGCAGTTTATAGTTTAGGCAGTAATACAATTTAGGAAACAAGATATTCACGAAAAAAAATATTGTTGCAAACATAAATGGAAATATATACAAACGGATATTTGGAAAATATTCCGCAGAATAATATAACCAGTTTTATGATCTAGAAAACCGGTTTTGTTGTAGTTAAATATGAATTTAGCCTAGCAATATGAAATACGATATTCGAATGATATATTTATAAGTGATTGAAGATTTAATTGTCATTTGGTCATCACTATATGACTGTTACATAACGTTTTAAAGTTATTTTTAGTAATAGTACTAAACATTTTCCGCTACAGCTATAAAATACCCGTTTAAAGTTAAAATCTATTGATTCTATTGTTGCTTTAACGTTTAGATGTGTTTTAATTCATCTTTAGAGATGACATTTTGAATCAAAATACAATTCATTGTCTACAAACTTAACTGCTATATATTTGTAGCTACTAATAAAAGTACGAAGTCTGTTCAGAAAATAATCAAACTTTTTGAATTACCCGCTAATGGAAATATTTACTGATATGCGGTTGGCAGCATTGCGTTGCACATAACATCCTCTGTAACCACATGTTCTTGGATTGTTGACATCTCATTTAGTTTTTGTGATATTGTTATTTGAGTGCAACGTATTTAAGTGTTAGTGACGATTTTTGAAATTTGATTTTCTGGAATAACTATCCAACGTAAAATTTTGGGTGAAACTGGAGAAAACCTTCACGGAAACGTTTCAACTTTTGAAACAAGGTAACGGAGATGATGCTCTGGGTCGTACGCAATGTTACGAATGGTTTCCTCGACCAGGAAGGCCTTCGGCTTCAACTGATGCCTTCCACGTTCAGAAAGTCAAAGATCAGAGAAACTGTAGAAGGGTAAAGTAGATGGAGATGAAAGTTCAATCAATGGATTGGTAAAGGAACTCCACGCCCTAAGAAAGAACGTTAGTCTCGATCAAATTTTAAAATGACGTTCACTGTTTTTCGACATTAATGAAATTATCTATTTTGAATTCTTGCCTCAAGCGACACAATGAACCATGTGTACTGTCATATCGAAAGATTACGAAAAAAATCCACAAAGAGAGATCAGAGTTGTAGCGGGACAACTCATGGTTCTTGCATCATAACAATGAGCCCGGATTCTCAGCTTGTCAATTTCTTCAGTATTGTGTAAAAAATCAGGTTACTGTTCTTTCTTACCCTCCTTACTCGACAGACCTGGCTCCTTGCGATTTCCGAAATTAAAATCGGTGCTAAAAGCATGCCGACTGTTAATCACATCAAAGTAAATTTGTTACAGATTTTAAAGACCATTTCAAATTAATGAATGGAAACACCCATGGGGAAAGTGTCTGAATGGTGGAGGGGAGTACTTTGAAAGAGAAGAACTAATAATGTAAAAATTAATAATAAAGTATAAAAAAATAAAGTTCGGTTCTTTTCTGGACAGGCCCCATATTGTGAACATGAATATTAAGAGATTAACACGTGTTCGTTTTTTATATACATAATATATAAAAAATTAGCTTTGAAGGAAACAACCGAATTATATTCTTCGCTTGACTGTTTGTAGACTGTAGAATGTTCAGACCACCATATAAACTATATAAATATACTATTATTCATCTTATATTCCTTCCATTTTGTCACTTTACTTGCGGTGGCACGTGGGAGCAACAGGACATTATGAAATTTAGTTCTGTAAATTCAATTTAAAGAGGAAATGTTGAGGTCAGCAATTGTTTATACATGCAGCTCTACAGAGAAACACAATTGCAAGCAATTGGATCGTTAGCTCAGATGTATTTACATATTTTAAACAATAGAGCATATACAATTCGAATCTTTCGCGCGTAAATTAACTATAGGGACAAAGAGGAGATTTTTAAAGTTTATACATAAAAATGCTATGCTCAAAGTATTGTAGTACATGTTTTTAAGAGCGTTTGGCGGTAAGTCGTTACTGTTTACACATTTTCTCATGAAATCCCGGTGAATTACAGCATTAAAATAGATGTTGGCTGGCTAAGGGGCTTAAATGTTACGGTGACTTTTATTTTTAAAAATAACCCATCCGAAATGTAGTTCTTAATAGCAAAAATAAACGCACTCACTTTTAGTAGAACGTATGACATTTAAGTCACTTAATTGAATCGTTTATACCTAAAAATAAATCTATTTAATACGGGCTATAAAAAAGAATCTTAACTAATTGGTGTGTCACAGCATGAGTTCCTGTTTGTACAGGGTGTGTCTATTTCACGTTGCTTTCGATAAAAAAATAAACGAACAAAAATGCTTTTGATATATTTGCATTTGAAGCGCAATAAGAAACATGTGAAAAATGGTGTCTACAATTTTTATTATGTTTATCAATTTTTGATTCAATAAATTGGCCAAGAAATTATATAATAATTCATGGAGACTGTCACAAGATAATAAATAGGACTTGCTTTTTTTGAAAAAAATTAAATACAGGGTGTTTCATTTCGAGTGAATCAAATTTTAACCACAAATAGAACTCAATAAATAGTTCAGAATTGTCTTATAAAGCAAGGGTCTAAGTCTCACCGTTTTCACTGTATATTGGTCTTTTGTTAAATTCATATTATTTACGAAATCTTTGGTATGGTTACAACAAATTAATTCAAATTTGGAGTGGTGTTAACATTTACACGTATGCATAATTTACTGTAAAATTTACAAATTTTTGTAGGTCAGTGGCGTAGGAATTGGTAGTAAAGTGGGATTTTTTGCCCCAGCTTCTACGCCAATGAAATATTAAACATTTGGGATTCATTTTTTGATTCCGTGGACAATCCTACATAAAAAAGGTATACTTGTTGAAAATCGGTATAGTGTATCGTTTTACCGCAAATCTCACTTGAATGGGAGGCCGTTTTTCTGATAAGACTTGATTATTCATCCATTTTTTTACAAACACTAATATTTCAAATCTTAAAAATAAAATGACAGTTCCTGATGGCAGAAGTCTATTATTGCTTGGTTGTTTTTTCATGAATCCCAAATGATTAGGTCATTGGTGTAGAAGTTGGGGTAAAAAATCCCGCTTTACTACCTATTCCTACGCCACTGACCTACAAAATTTTGTAAATTTTACAGTGAATTATGCACATGTGTAAATCTTAACACCAAATTTGAATTTGTTATAAGCAGACCAAAGGTTTCGTAAATAATATGATTTTCACAACTGGCTAGTACGGCCCTGTATAGTGAAAACGGTGAGACTTAGACCCTTGCTTTATAAAGCACTTCTGAATTATTTATTGAGTTCTATTTGTGGTTAAAGTTTGATTCACTCGAACTGAAACACCCTGTATATCAAAACTTTAAGAATAGGAAACCTTTATGAAAGTTCACCTAAAAATTGACGTAGAATCCAAAATTGCAGTAGTATACAGGGTGTTCCAGTTAAATTAACGCAGATGACGTCAACTTTCGATCAATTGTGGGACATTATTGGGTTAAATGTTGATAAATGTAAACCAATAAAACAAAAAATGTTCTGTTGTCTCGGATTTTTTGGCCAATTTATTGCAGCTAAAAAATGTCCCCAAATTTTTGAATTACCTACATTTACCAATATTAGTCCAGGTAATATAGAGTTGGACAGTCTGTAACTCCGTTGTTATTATTATGAAATCTACCAAGAAATAAATCAGTGCGATTGTGGAAGATCCTCGGGATCGTCCAAACTAATAATTAGTTAATTTGTTTATAAGGCCATAATTTGTAAACTATTCAACTTATCGATTCCAGATTTAGTGTGAGTTATTAAACAATGATAAGGAATGAGAGGATGCGATGCCAAAACGTTCTGGTAATAATAACGCAGTTTATAAATGTTTAATTCAAAAGTCATAAATAAACTTCTTCTGTTTATAACCTTTGATATAATCAATATTTTTTGACGCTCGAGGGCTAGTTTTGTAGGTCTTTTGAAGACGAAAAAAAAGTACTTCACTGTTTTCTCGTGGAAATGAATGGAAAAAAGTTATAAGCGAAAACGTAAATTTACGTAAAAATTATACAATTAGCCACCCTGTAACCAATCTTCCCCCCATTTTTATGACTGTGGAAACTAATATGTTATTGTACATAATATTTAGCATCTATAGTGATAAATTCAGCTTGTCGAAACAACAAGTCGCAAAATGGTAATTTCCCAGCTTATTTTCCTGGCCTAATATAACCTGTTCGATTTGTTGATTAAGAATTATTTTTTAAAGTTTACTTAAAAAAAGCATAAAATGGTCGAGAACTTCTCCGAGTCTTGAACTTAAAATAAAATTGCTACAGTTTCCATTTCGGTATCTAGTATCTCTCAGTAAAAAAAAACGATTTTAAGAACTTCAAGGGCTGTCTTACCCAGATCCAAACTGACGGTATCCACCAGCACAACCACACAGGCGAGTAAGGCCAAAACGGCCGCTGCTGTCCCGCACCCCATGGTCTTCTTCACTCACACGCGATTCGGCACCTTCGTCGATGAGCTGCTGAGTGTGCCGTGCGACTGGACACTGGCTTTCGCGGCTTCAGCGGGCGCCAGATTATTTTTATGTGAGCTTCAGCGGCAGCGGTCTATTCGTCACGACGGTGATGGATTTGTTGTTCGTATCACTTCCTTCTTGATATTATCTAGTGACTCGTGACCTTGGGCGGTGGCAGACGCAGAGATTTTCCGAAGAAATGTTTTGGCAGTTTGATATTCTGATTATTTACCCACAATTCTTCGAGCAACTAATGCGAAATGTGCATATATGACAGATGGAACATTTAGATTAAAAGTTAACAATAACAATACTTCTCAGATTTATTTTGCTGTACTTTTGAATAATAGTAATCAATACTAAGAGCCTTCCATTTAAATAATCAACATACCTACCAAATCTGATATTGCTGTACTTAAATATATGTCTTCGTCCAAGTTAAAAGTCAAAGACCCTGGTCATGCTAGATACAAAAATGTAAAACAGTTGGTGAGTTGAAGTAATTAAAAAAGAACTATGCTACTGAAAACTGTTACAAAATGATAAAAAATAGAACTAGTGATGAAGAAAACACGTTTTGATGTTGTGTTAAACGAATCATCATCATAACCAATGTATAATTAATGAGTACATCATTGTGACTATATTAATAATTATTGTGACCGATCCCCAAGTGCATATTAATGATCAGGCGCATTATCTCACCACAATTGTAAACCATAGTTGTTAGTAAACTGTAGTATTAGATCATTTTTAACTGTAAAAGTGATTTTATGTAGTAATTACACAATTTTACTGCATTTTTCCAAGAAATCAAAGAATGAACCATTTTTTATTCGATTTCCATATACGAACTTTTGTGTAATTTGACTAATACAAAAAGTGACACTACCGTCGCCTTCTTATAACTACGTTCTTTACATTATAAGAATGTACCGGGCGTTTCAGAGTTGAAGTGACAAAAACGTAGGGGAGATTCCGCTCAGCAAAATATGTAAAAAAGTTCATATGAGCATGGGTCCGCAAGTGCTTTGTTTCCGAGATACAGGGTGTTATTTTGTTTAAATTTATTTTATTAAAAAAACGCTTTAGCTAATTCGAATGAAATTTTTACGATTTTTTAAAACAATTATCATTCATCAACTGGACCAATTAGATTTGATCCAGAATTTTCAGGGGCATACCCAGCGAGCAAGTCGTTTTTTTGTGTGTAAGTTTGACGCTTTGCTTGGTCGAGTGTATAGCACGCGTTTTATGGCAACCAGTAGCATTTCGTATTGTGAGCATAGAGCGGCAGACGGCTTGATCACATATTTAGTCTATTTCTGCTACTACAACGCGTATTGTTGCTTAGTATATACACTGTAAAAAAATGTCACTCAAATTTCACTTAATTTTACTCAATAATGTATCAATTTCTGTTCACACCCGATCGACTGAAATTTTCACTCTATTAGTATGAGTACAACTGAGTGAAAATAATGCATCAGAAATGAGTGAGTTTTACTCAAATCCAAGTTACTGCTAACTATCAATTGAGCGACTTTTGACTCTATTCTGAGTATAAAAAACCAATTTAGAGTTGACTTTTTCTCTAATATAAATTAAATTTAACTAACGAGCGTTCAAATAAAAACGTGGTCAAGTTGGTTCTGAAGATTTGGACGTAGGGCGTAGCGTATAGCAAATGAACTTAAACGTCATCTGTCAAAGCGCTATATCGCCGCTATCAATTTGAATATTTTCGTTTTAAAAAGCGTTTAAAATGGTGTTTTCTCAAGAACAAAAAGTGTTTATCATAGAGTCCTACTTTAGAAATGGACGCAAGATTGATGGAATATGGAAGTATTCTATTGAGGAATGTTTCATAGAATTTCAAAATCAATTTCCCGGCGTTGTTGAGTACAAAATTTTTCAAAGTGCAGTTCAGCGTTGTGTTAATGTTTTTCGTGAAACGGGCAGTGTAACAAGAAAAGAAGGAAGCGGCCGACCTAAAAAGCGGACTGAAGAATTAAAAGAAAATGTCCAACAAATAATGGAAAATGCGCCAAGAACTTCTGTACGTGTTTTATCACAAATGGTGGGAGTATCAGTCGGTACCTGCCACACAGTGTTAAAAAAAGATTTGCGTTTGTTCTCCTATCGTTTAACTTGTCAGCAAGAACTTCATGAAGTTGATTTTCCGCGACGGGCTGTATTTTGTGAATGGTTTTTAAACAACTACGGTGAACTTCATAATATCACCTTTTTTTCTGATGAAGCCTGGTTTCATTTAAGTGGTTACGTAAACTCACAGAATATGAGAATGTGGTCTTCTGAAAAACCAGATAACTTTTTTGTCGAGGGCCCTCTACACGCTCAAAAAATTGGAGTTTGGTGTGCTCTCAATCGAAGGAGGATTTATGGACCTATTTTTTTTAATGGTACTCTTACTGCGCAAAGGTATAGAGAAGAAATTATCGCTCCTTTTGTTAACCAGCTGGAAGAAAACGAAATTACAAACTTTTACTTTCAACAAGATGGCGCAAGGGCACATACGGCAGGCGAGACGATGAATATGTTGAGGGAAGTTTTCCAAAATCGACTAATAAGTCTCAATGCTGAACATGAATTTCCACCGAGGTCATGTGATATTACGCCGTGTGATTTCTTTTTGTGGCCTTACCTTAAAAACACTATTTTTGAACTGCCTATTCCTGATTTAAACCATCTGCAGGCTCGACTTATAGACAAGATTCGTGAAATTAACAATACCCCGAGCATCTTAGAAAATGTCTTTAATTCTTTGAGGAACAGGTGTGAAAAGTGCTTGGAACAAGGAGGGGGACACTTTCAGCAGCTGCTTTAATTTATTGTTATAACAAGGAGGGGGACACTTTCCGCAGCTCCTTTAATTGTTTGTTATTGTTATCACGATTATTCTTTAAAATAAAGTTATATAGTCATTAACGTTATTGAAACTGACGGCTGCTATACAGCTCGTTGAGAAATGAGGTTAAGTTGGTCGATATAAGCTACTCCCTACGTCCAATGTGTCAGAGCCAACTTCGACCACGTTTTTATTTGAACGCTCGTTATTACTGAGTCATTTTTTACTCAGACTTGGTTTTTAATTATCTGAATATTGAGTGCAAAAATAAATCACTCATAAATTATTAATTAGAATATATAGTGTTGAAATTAATTCGACGTGTGTTCTGCAAATGATGAACTTTCAAATTAGAAGAATTATTGTAAAAATAATGTCTTAAATCTACATTTTTTTTGAAGTTGAGATGAAAATCGGTACTTTGTAATTTATTAAATTTGTATAATTTTTAGGTAAAAGCCATGTTATGTTATTTGAAATTTACTCAATAAGTGCTTCCATATTATTAAAGTTTGGAGTGGTTTTGCACCACTTTATATTTTCTTAAAATTTTAATTTAAATATCATTGTTATAAACTACTAAACAGTCATGGTGGTTTCAACACGGATTTGTTTTAGATACAATAATTTAGGTCTCGATTGGTTCACTAATCGAATAAATAAATTGCCGTAACCTATATTGTACGTAATAATTATAAATAACAATTTAACGATCCATTTATTTAACCAAATATTAATCGAGACTTAAATATATTGTTTTTAATTATTATAATTATTAAAATTATTAAATCACTACATTTAAATGCAATTTTCACTAGAATAACCAGATAAACCGATACTTGTCCAACTCCAAAGCACACCATACGCCATACTGCCATCCACCACGCCACGATCACGACATAACCTAGTGGGACGATGGGAACAGATGAAGACAATGAATCTGGATATGAAAAAGGGTGGAATCGCTCAGTAATGAGGACATTTACTCTGATTTAGGTACAAGTACCTATATTTAAGTGAAAGTACTCAGTTTTAGTTTAAATTATAATCACAAATGAGTAAAATGATCAAAATACCCAATATTGAGTGAAAATGTAGTCAATAATTTCACTCAATTGATTCACTCCGAACCTTTATTGCTTTCACTCACACCGATTTTCTTCCAGCGTAGATTACTACAGTTTATTTATTTGATTCTCGTTACAAATAAAATAATTGTAATAAAACTTTCCTACTTAGACTACTGTTAACGTTAAAAATAGGTAGTGCAGCTCTGTAACAGTTTGTCAATATTTACATTTATACAACGCCTGGGAAATAAACCGCCAGCTTCCGTCAGATCGTGTTTTGTTCCAAAATCGTGATTCATCTGATATTAGGATAGAATTTGGAGCTTATCCAGTTTAAAAAAAGGATCTAGCAGGCGGAACAAAATAATTTACAATCCATAGAAAATTGAAGGCACACTAGATTATACATAGTTGTGTTTTGAAAGCTACCTAATTTATGTTCGAAACAGTGGGATTTGGAAACTGTGTAGGGGTTTTACGGTTGAGAAAAAGTTCTTGTGGACTGTATTTTATTTAATTATGTATTATACACTTTTGCAATCGAAAAAGCTAACTAGGATATTTGATTTATATTTAATGCATAAATAACGAATTTTAAATTTTTTCCATATATGTACATATTTACAAATGCTTCAGTCCAATTTCCATGTTCAGGGACAAATTATTTATTATAAATATTTACTTATAAAATTCGAAGCTCATTGACGCAATTTTGTTTTAAGATTTTGATAAACACAATTACGTAAAACAGATATAAATACTTTTTGTCTAGACTTCGCAATTTATAATATTTTTTTGAATTTCTCAGTAAACCGTAAACAAACAACTTTTACTTTACGCGAAATGTGTTTGTAAACAAAAATGGAGGATAAACAAAAGCATTCTAACAATCCTTCGCACGTCGTATATAGCAAGAACATTTATTTGTTACTATTCACTTCGTGATTTCTTGCTAATAAATTAAATCAGATTTTGTAGATAGAAATCAACTGTGGGTTTGTTTACAAGGCGTTTTAGAAACATAAATATGTGTGTGTAAATTTATAATTAAAAAAATGCATTAGATGAAATTGTATCTCAAGAAAAACACCAATTTTTATACAAGATGTCCTGTAAGTATCTACTAATCTCTTGGGAAGGTATGTGGTAAGTCAAAATAATATTAAGGCTTCCTATAATCTTTTTTCATATTGTCCCTTGTGATGGAGATATCGAACCCCAAAGGTATACGAAGAGATTTACTTTTTGGGTTGAAACTTTGAAACTACTACATATATACAGGGTGTCCCGTTCATATTTCAAAAAAACCTGTGTGCAAGTGCCTCATGGGAAAATAATAGGGGTAGTTCATGTAAAGTTTTTTTCTTAGACGCCCTGTTTTCGAGTTACAGTGTGTTGAAGTTGTTACTTTCCAAATGGTTTTCCTTAATTATCTTTAAATCGGCTAAAGATAAAAATTTCAAAATTTGTACACGAGTAAACATCAACTGTGCGTTAAGAATAATGTGAAAACGGTTTCTTTCTGAAAAGCAGTGTCGCCGATACAAGTAATTGAAGGAGTACAATCAAAGAAAAAATATGTTAAAAGTCAAAATTTATTACATTTCTAAACGGTTCTGTAAACTCTAAAGGATACATTACAGCAAGAAACTTGGATTGTTAACCAGCACTTCAGGCCGACAAGGTAAGCATTAGGATGCAGCCAGATACGTATCGAATAAATTGATCGATGCGAAGTTTCCGATCAGAGGCAGTTCGTTTTTTAAGTTTTACTCGAAAATCAGGCTTTTTTTCGAAATTGAAAAACGAAAATGTCATGGTTGTTACCGTAAAGCAGTGGCGTACTATTTTATTTAGAAAGATATGCCACCGATACCCTGTATCTCCGCCACTGGAGCATGTAAATTTTAGAAAAAGCCCTCAGATTTTAGACAACAATTACATAAATACGTGTGCGCAATTTAAAATTATTTCACATACTTAGTTTTTAAGTTATTTAAAAAAATTGAAAATATTTTTTGAAGTTTAACACGCTGTATCTTTTTAACGAAGCATCCTCGATAAAGACTGTATAGGAAAGACTCCCGTTAAAATTCGCCAAATAATAAGAGGTTTAATTTTTGGTCACCATTTGTGAATCACCCTGTATATTCTTATAATCTAGAGTGCCGTTATAAGATGACAACGGTTGTGTCACTTCATGTTTGAATAAAATTACATAATTACATGAAATAATTTAACAATTTAATTTTACTATTGCTTAAATACGCGATTTATCTCGAAAACCCTTTATTCTACCGAAGTAAATAGTTTTTTTTTTTTGAGAAAAATGTTAAGAGCATCTGAAAATAATAATTTCAGTTCGAGAGTATGACAATTATTTCAAAATCTTGAAAAGTATTGTGCTGGGCAAGTCCGTTTCTTATCTTGTAATAAAAAAAGAAAGTAATATTATAGCTGAGGCTTAAATGTTTATGAAATGGACAATATTAAGGCGCTTAAAAAATTTGATAAAAGGGATTTCCTTCAGTTGCATCGTTTCGTATGATAATCCAGAGACACTGTATGATGCTTCCAAATATAAGTTTACGTTGCGACGTAACTCATAGCCTCCTACGTTCTCATCACTGCTTAAGTATTTCTTTCTTCAATTGTTAACTATTTTTTAACGCGTTACATATTCTATAAAAGGGTATTACGAGGACTTCGCAACAAAGGTGAATTATTCTATCAATGACAACATGGTGTTTAACAAAGAGAACTGGTAACTAGGAATTGAGTTGATATCAGTTGATGAAAACTACTTGAATAAGTAATACAATTACTATTGACAAAGACAATAATATTATTGAAAATAAATACTTTATTGTATCAGATACCTTATTTAGTTTCGGAAATTTCACTGAATGTAACTGTTTATCAAGATTTTTTACTCTATGAAAATTTTGAGCCAATTTAAAAATATTTCCTAAAAAAATTTATCAAATGAAGTCAAACAGCACTTTTATATCAGAAATCTAGGTACGCAAAAGATATATTATTCTTCGAATTGGCTAAACATAGCAATTTCTCTTTATTTGTTAATGGTTTGTCTAATCAGTTTTCTAAGTACATTCTGTCAGGAAAACCAGATGCCAGGATAATGTATTCCGCAGACGGTGTCACCAGAGTTTACTTCGACATCTGCAGGTCTCGTCTAGTGTGGTCAACTAATGCAGATATTACTCAAGCGACAGTGTTAATAAACTTTCCCAGAAAAAATATGGTTCAAGCTTTGTCATACCAAAGGGAAATGACGTAATAACAGCCACATATTATTTGTATTATATGTAATTATTAGTAAATTTGAATAGAATTATTTCTTCGGAGATTTATGTCGAAAATATTTTTTTTTAATTTAAAAGAAATATGTATTCATAGTAAATTAATTGCCATTTAATTTATGTTTATTCAGTCATATAAATAAAAAAGAAACCCAAAAGTTTTTGGTTTTACACTGCTATAAGCAGATTTAACCCAAACGGCATTTTATTTAAGGATACTATTTTAAAATCAGGTGGTTGAGGACTTTTCGGTAGCACCCAATATGGTTTTATGAAAGTCCAGAGCAGGTAGGTATAATCAGTACATATTTTTTGAGGGTTTTGATCCGCTACAGCATGAGATTTTTTACGCGAACTTAACAAATGTAGTCTACTATTTAATTTTTTATCTCTTTTGCCTTCTTGGTAAACGATAGGAATTTGTATATTATTGCACAATTTTCCAGTGTTATCTAGGTGTTCCGCATGGATCAACCCTGGACCCATTACTATTTAATATATTTAATAAAACGAAAACTGTATTTAATTTTGCATGCAATTACAGTATATTATTAATCATTTTGAAAAATGGTTATTATTAGACATACTTCTGATTAGTATTAATCAGTGGCGGTTCTTCACTTCCATACTAGGGAAGCGGAGAAATTTAGGTACAAAGTATTTAAAAGAAATTAAATATAATTGGGTAGTTTTATTATAAGACTAAAATATAGATAAACTATACTAAACATTATTTTTTATACTGAGTCTATTATTCTGCTTTTGTCTGAAATAAACTATTCAATTACTTTTTCATTAAAACAAATTCCAATTATAACTTCTAAGTCGTTACCATGACAACAATGACAATTAAAGTAGCTCATTGTAATGGTTAATATGCCTGGATTGTACAGGAGCAGACGAAATTATCCATTGAAATTTATACATCTTTTACAGCTTTGCCAAATTTGGCATTTTTCTTTCATAATTCGATTCCTCTCTCACTTTGCTAAAAAAATATATACCGTATATCAGTCGATATCTTGTAATAGATAATTCTGGTCCTGTATAATCTAGCCATATTGAATACCAATTTAAATTTGGAAATAAACATTACCATGAGTTACTTTAAATGTTTAATATGTTTTTTAAACTACTTTCTTTGAATGCGAATAACTCCACAACGAAGCCCGATAGAAAAAAAATGTATGACTACATTTATTTTGACCTCCCCTTCATTTTTGACATGACCTTTCCGGACACCCTGTATATGTATAAAATTACTGCGATATGTAGTCATGCGTATTTCTAATTTATAGTTTCCGCTTTTGCCAGTGCAATGGGCTAGGCAAAAATTTTCATAAAAATTTGCCCTTGATAATGTTAATTGGGGTTAAAGTTTATTACATTAATATTTTTTCACAGATTACAATATACAAAAAAAAAAATTAAATTAAAAATACGTAAACTGTGTAAAAGTAATTTCTGACAATAACTTAACAGCGTATGGTATGGTAATCCTCAGTACAATTACAACATTGGAGATTTAAGGGTACTAAATTAACTTTCAAAACAATGATTCTGATATCATAAAACGATGAATTAGCGGTTTCTAGTTTTCAATAATATTTTAACCGCGATGTCATATAAACATAAGCGTATGTAGTTTATCCTCAATCCAGGAAAGTGTATTAATGGTTGCCAGCCATTTATAAAGATACATACTCTACTATTCTATGTGCAATTTATTATTTTATGCATCGTGGCTATTTTTAGCTACATTTCCTTAGAACATTTTGCTTTAAGACTTACATTTAGAACCTACACTCTAAATAGTGTCGCACAATGTCCCTGTACCGTTCAAAGAACAACTCATTCTTTGACACATCTATAACAAGCATATCCTCCAGACCATTTTCACTCAACAAATCCCCAAAGTCAGGAGCATTCTCTTTGTCGCAAAGGACGAAGGACAATATCAGTGCCATGAATATCACACCAAAGGTGGAATATTTCCTCCAGTGAACTTTCAAAGAGCTGAATGGGAAGAGCTTCTCGGGATCGCTACCCAGGGCTGTTAGGAAGCTTGAGAACGACGCGTAGTAAGTTTTCATGAGTTGGTCAAAATGTTTCAGTTCCTTTGAAGAGGCTGTAGCGTAGAAGACGTAACACAGATCTAGGGCTGGTGAACGCAAGTGTGACAATTGCCAGTCCAGGATAACTACTTCGCTGGGAGAGGTTCGATTGTTACCCTGAAATTAATTATTAACTATTATTAATCATAGTGTAAATGTTTTTCTTTTCTTGACAAAATTAGATGTTAGTAAATAAATATAAACGCAGACAATATAGCTTCGCTCCAGACCGCTACTCGAATAGGACAGCTGTTTTAAATTTCCGAATTGCCGATAGAGTTCACCACCAGCAGAATTTTAGGAAGAATCAAATGTAGCGGCCCGCATTCCTACGCGTATCCTAGCAACATTATAAACAATACTTTGGCAATGTTGACAGGCGTACTTACGGATTTATTTTGTACACTTTTTTATCAATACCTGCTTTTGCGTTACTGTATTTACTTAAACGTATGATGTAGGTATTGATAAAAATGTTTTAAAGAATCAACGAATATCTATGTAGTTTCCTATGATATTTTGCAGCGGTACACCAGTTAGGTTATTTAATCATAATTTCGTTAATTAGGTACTATTTTCATTTTTTGATATTGAAATACTGCAGAAAATATATTTCCAAATAAACAAGATTCGTAATGATATTTTAAACAGCTTGTAATAAAAATTTTTAAAATTTGATGATGATGATAATTTTATTTAATATTCAAGGTGGGTACGTCGCGGAATGTAGGTACAGGTTTTTATTTTGTATTTTGACACCCACTCCTAGGTTTAATGATTAAAGGTAGAAAAAAAAAATTAATTACAGATGTACGACTTTTCCTCTATTTCTTTTGACATTATTAAAATTTTCTTAATTAAATAACATTAAAATACCTACCAATTTTTACAAATTTTCAACATGCAAGTAATTGTGATGATACAGTTTACTATTTATTGCTTTAAAAACAAATTCAGAAGTATCAAACATTTCGTCCAGTATTTTTTCTTTCAATAATTGTAAATTTTGAAGTCTTTAATAATATATTTTATTGAAGTGTCCCCAAAAAAATATGTCTAAAGGACTGAGATCGGGGCTGCTTTCTGGCCATCTAAGGTTTCAAATAATATTTTTTTTGTGTTCGTTGACGGGATTCTTCCTCCAAAATAAATTTACCGATATTCCTGAAGAACTTTTGCACACTATTGTTATTTGAACAATACAGTTTATGTTTTTATTATTCATCAGAATAAAAATAATAATAATTCAAATTTAAAAAAATTAAAATGGGATATTCTGATAATGATAAAACCGATGTATTTTTAAAGGAAGGTTCGTGTATGTTGTTTTTGTCTGATTATGTGCGAGAGAGATAGAGTTATAATGTGCGATAGAGATAAAGTGATTTTGTCTTCAGGAGTTTCTGGGACTTCCCCAGCATCTTCAGGATACCTAGGTAAGGAGCATGGGGTAGAGCGCGTGGCCTTTTTAGCCTTCGTCATCGAGCTATGATGTCACAACATAGAAAAAAAAACCGGTTTCTGCTTGTACGTCGGAAATGACTCGAAATATCAAAAAATCTCCCATGGTTCTAATTGGTGATCGAGTGAAAACCGTCCGCAGTCCGCATGTCGAAAAAAAAAATTCGGGATCAACGGTGTGTGACATCATAGAATAAAAAAGTGATTATAACTCGGAAACGGTGCGTTAAATCCAAAAAATAATTGAAAAAATCTTCCCACCCCCCGGGTTCTGATTATCTCTTCTCCGTTGAATGCAAAAGGTCCGAAGTCCGTATATCGAAAATAAATTTCGGAAACAAGTGGTGTGTGAGGTGATACAGTAAAAAAGGTCTTATAACTCGAAAACGGTGTGTTGAATCGAAAAAATAATTGAAAAAATCACCCCACAACCCTGCATCTGATTGTCCCTTCTGCGTTGAATACAAAATGTCCGAAGTCCGTATGTCGAAAATAAATTTTGCAAACGAGGTGTGTCATATAGTAAAAAAGTCGTATAATTCCCCATACTCTTGGTTGTGAATGTCAGTTCTGCGTTGAATGGAAAAGTTCCGAAGTCCGTATGTCGAAAAACAAAAAAGTTAGTCAAAAATTATATTATCTCTCATTGACTGATGATTAGTTGTTGTTTTTTTAAATAAATTTCGTACCACCTCTAGAGGTTCCAACAGTTATATTAAATAAAAAATTAAGATACTATTCTTAAAGAAATTTTACATTTTTAAATTTTTTTGAAATAAATAATTAATTAGGTAAATTCATAGTTTTAATTCTAACTTGATTTTTTTTATTTAGCTTTTAACAAAAATGTCATTTCCAAACAAAAGATAAGTTCTATATAATTCTTCAATTACATAATTAAATGCATTAAATGTATTTGGCAGTTATTATTTGGCAACAAAGCCACCGCTAGAACTGCCCTCTATTAGCGAGTAGAAGAGTTACTAGCATTTAGCGCGCAGTCTGAAGCGATAAGCTATATTGTCTGTGATATAAATATTACGGTTAGCAAAGAACAAAAAAAAATTGTAAGAGGATCCGTGAAACAAAGAATAACTTGGATTGATCATATTGCAGGAAACAAATACTCTGCGTACAGCAGTTTCCTGTAATATCTTCAATTTAAAAATTTAGATTCGCCTAGTTGGCAATAGATCCGGCTTTCGTCGTACCTGTGATATTAGAGGTCGCTCTTTGCTCGTATAGGACGTATGAAATCACAGGGAGTGAGTAACAATGACCATTCATAGATGTAGCTGTCTGCTACGTCGCGTGTATAAAGAATTTCGTCTAATCAGAGTGAAGATGTAATTATGACACTGGTTAAAAATACATATCGGACACAATGCAGAGTTTTTATAACCAAAAAAAGTGAAGCACTAGATTCAGAGTATAGAAGGTATTTTGTTTATATTTAAAAAAGGTGAGTTCTTCTTGGAAAGGCGGGTTCTCATCGACGTTGCAGTTCTAAGATGCAGAGTGTTACATAAAATTATTTTGTAAAGGTTTTCTTAATTATTTGCAAAATATATCATAATTTGTATACGAGATAGATGTAAGAAAAACGTGTCACCCATTTTATTCCCAAAAGCAATGGCATGGATACAGATATTTGAGGGTATTTGTATGTTTAAAGTCGAAATTGTTTAAATATTCCAAAAGGTTTGCAAACCCCAAAGGGTCATACAAAAAAAGCTACTACCCACAGTACATTTAAAAATATTAACATGAAAACGTATTTTACTTTGGATTTACATAGTTTGACAACACAAATTTAATTATATTACATGTCTTACATAATTCCAGGGTATACATTAATAGCAAATTTATATTGGGAGTACACAGTGTTGTTGTCTTTGGATTATCGTCATCCATTTACGACAGTTGAGTAGAATTATTACTCATATTTTTCTGAATGACAGTTATGCACTTTAAATAACGAATATTCAATTATTTTCCAACGACTACTTGATCCTTGTGATTTTTTGGTGGTACTTCAGATTCTTTAGAACGATATTGCTTATAACTTTTAAACGGGAAGAAATACAGAAAAATGTCTCTAATAAAAGTTTATTAGAAAAAGAGAGCTTTCTAACTGGAAAAAAATTTGGGTGCTTCTGGGAAAAATATAATTGATGACGTCATTTGTCGTTTCTGACAAATCCCAAAGATAATACTTTCGATTGAAAATGGAGCTTACCTCATCCCATTTAACACCACGCGTCCCAAATTTTATTTAAATTTTTTGTATCCTCACATTACGCCCATACTATTGAGTTTAAGACACCATATTAAAGAGTATATCCTACCTTATATTTGAACATGTAGTTATTGCACCAACCATCACTATGAACGATAACTGACTGTTCTTCATCTTCATCTACAATTTTCGCCATTACATCAGCTACGTTGTCTGTATATTTTGCAATAATTTTCTCGAATTTATTCACCAGTTCCGCTTCTCCATGGTCCAACAACGTTTTCAACGCATTATTCAAGACTGGTCTAAAACAGCCTCGAGTCAATTTGTCTCTGAGAAAATTTCCCAGAAAATCCGGATAGTTTTTCACAATAGCCTCAAATTCATTCCTCCTTTGATCACGAAGAGCAAAAGATAAAGCATGGAGTCTTCCGAATTGTTCCAAAATTGCTTTTATATGGAATATATTCAAAGGTTTTCTTCTGTCGCATAGTTTGTATCCTTGCGGTTTCAAGCTTTCGAGGATCAAGACCTCCTTTTTTTCCAAACACAAAGTTTTAAGGCATTTTGGAACTGCACTGAAAGTCACAGACAGTTTTTTTTCCAATTGAAACCTTTCCAGTACAGGATATACCTTGTCGTAAAAGTGGATCTCTGCGTCGAACATGTGTTTGAATGCTGAGGCTCTGAAGTAGTCATTTTGTTTGCTGTGTTTGACAACTAGATGCAAAGTTTCTTCTTTGTTGTCAGTGTTGGTTCCCGTCACATTCACGAAAACTATATCACCAATGTATCCGTCGCATTTTTCTGAGGTTCCATCCAAGGTGACCTTGAACGTGTTGAAATTTTTTCTTTCCACAGCTTTTGCTACCCATGAGATCAAGTCGTTCTTCAACACCGCCTTGGTTTGGTCCATTTTGAAGGGAATTCGTGCATTGGGGTATAGCTTTGTGTTATATAGTGCGGTTTAGGTGAAAATTCAAGGCTTTGTGGATCATAAAACAAAGTAACAGCATTGAATGGAACATTAATATTTATTGTCGTTTGTGTAGGTATACACGAGCAAAAAAGTATAGAGGTTTAAATAGCAGAAGAAAACTAGAGGACTAAGAAATGAAACTCCTGACCACAAAACAGAATTATACAGGGTGCCCCCGTACTTGATGCAAAAAAGTCGAGTACAAATAGACGAGGTCAAAACAATATCAGTTCTTCATATATTTTTTTTTTCATACGGGCCTTCATTAACAAGTTTAAGAACGGAAATTGAAGTCCCGTTTCATCTAACAAAGTAGTACAATATTCATATAGATGTCGCTACAGGAAATACGTGTATAGTAAAAATAGTACGATTATTTCATTCATCCAAATTCCGGCAAAACACATCTAAAAAAAACGAGAAAATGCCAGGTGCACGCACACGTGCACGATAATGAGTTGTCCGGCCTATACGTCCATCCCACTCTCTTGCTATCTCATAATTGCATATGAAAAGAGAAGGGTAATAAAATAATAAAAACTCCAATTTGCGGCCGCCGGTTTTTTGTTCTGAAAATATTTCTATTTTCTATCTTCTACATATTATTATGTACATATTTACAAAAAAGGAGGATGGCAAGTGGTTGTACAAATTTATAATATTTGCAGCCAACTAAAAGTTTTATTTCATATTATTTTCTACATTTTAGTACTTATATGGATTCGGACCAGAGTAGGTGCGAATGTAATTATTTCTTGTATGGATCTTTGAGCTGTTATCTTTTATTGTTGCGTTGTGGCTGCGAAATATTTTATTTGTGGAGTTTACTATTTTTTATATGAAGGAAAAAACATTAACAGAGTAAGTATTACAATTTGCTAGGCATAGTTGTACTTAGTACTAAATTCAAGTAAATAATAGATATTAAAATAAATATGTAGGTATTGTATTTGATTATTTGAAAATAAAAATTACATATGCGACAATGGACTTTCCGCTTACTTAGCCGTAATATAAATATGACATATTGTCGTTGCAATGCACATACAGGCTGTTCCAATAGTGTGACAAAGTTTATAATTATTTTCAGTTATAGTTGTATAGGGCAAAATCTTCAGGCCAAAAACAAGATTTTCTGAACGTTTAATTCGGTCTGAAAATAATGAATAATGGAAATAATAATAAAATGTGAATCCGAGCAAGTAACTTTTTTCGTATCACTACTACAGGCAGTTATACTAAACTTTATCGCACTATTGTGGCACCCTATATATGACTAGATATATCATTATGGTAAATCAAAAGCATAATAGGTAAAAATGTATAATTATCTATGTTTATAACAAATATTATCTGGTAAAATTCTTTTCTTACTTTCAGATACGGAACCGGAAGAAGTCTATATGTTATTTCGTAATATACCTATAGTGGTGAAAACAACCCACTCTATGTAGAACAAATTAAGAAATATGAAGAATTATGGAAAAAATCAATGGCAACAAATTTGGAACAATTTTATAAAAATTGTATACTACCAGAAATAATATACAAAAATATTCCACAGGGAAAAAGATGTATGGATCCAGAATATATTATAGAAACTCAAATTAATAAAAAGAAATAATTTTATTTTATGAATTTTTAAATTTTTTCCTGTTCTACTGTACCTATTCTATTTATTTCTTTATTACTTTCATTTATTTACATATTTATTAAACTACACTGTTCCACAGAATTTCTGTTTATATTGGAGGTATTAAAGTACCTATAAGACAACTATTTTTTCAATTGAAGTGAACTGAATTACCTATTTCTCATAAAAAAAATTTAGACTCAAATCGTCCTTTTGTACATAATTCTTTACACATTTTTTGGACAAAATAAGTATATCGTACATATTTTTTATATTTTCTCATTATTATGTATATTCACAATTAAAATTCTATTTATATTAATATGCAAATTTTTTTTATCAAGAATTACTTAATATTAATTATTAAAAATATAATATTTTCCATTTCTGTTTATACCAAAGTAAGCCGCTTTATTCACAAATCGTAATTATAACGTAACTTTCCGTTATGAACAACTTTTCTTATTAACATTTTTTTTATATTATCAAAAACAAAAGCAGTTTATTCTTCAACGTTATTAATTTTGTTAAATTTCTGATCACCCTGTATATATATTTATTACAGTTTTTCATGACAAACGTATTCAATTAAAAAGCAAAATATTTTTTGTCACGAATTACTTTTTCTAGTAGAATAGAAAATAAAAATGTTTTCCCTCTTATCCACTAACCGTAGATACTAATATAGGTATATTAATTATAAATTATGGTTTTAAATAAACTAAAAATTGTTTATATTTCATATTTTCTAAAATTATATAATAGTATGGACTTGCACTGTTACTTATATACTTTTATACAAAAATATATCTAAAATGATCATGACATTCTTTAAATATTTACGTATCAATTAACAGAAACCATGACTACCAATTCAGAATCAGGTTATACCAAATTAACCACATACAACAGCTGTTCGTTAAAAATAACCCGAGTCCATTCATAAATAAATTTTTACTAGTGCGACATCTATTACAAATCAAGCGAATTAAAAGTCGGAGATAATGCTATTCATGAATGAATATTTTTTAATAATTGTATTCCAATATAACTTTTTAAATAGTAAAGTGATGAACAAACTATGAAATAAAGTCTAATCAGTTTATTTATTTAAAGACAACTATATAAAAAATTGCATAATTCTATAATACTATGAAGAAATAATCGTTTCTTTGTAAAAGTCCAAAAAACCTTCATATTTAGAAATTAATTTCTCACGAATTATTTACCTATCCCAATTAATTTTTGCTTTACTGTCTTCGTTTATACTTTGCCAAATGTGATATGAAATTTTACTACTTTCTTCCATTGCTTTAAAAAGATATATTGGAATAAAAAAGGGCCGTTTTCTACCATTTTTCGGTATAATTTAGGCAACCAGAAATGCATCAGTTTACATCCTTAAGTGATGATTTTATTGTCACATTCAAACCAAAATTTAAAAAGTCGCATGTCGTGAGCAGAATTGAAAAAGCTGAGGCGTCACTCAACATAGGGTGTCACTACGCCCTTGCCTAAGAGGTAGCTTCCAAGACACCAAAACTTACGCCATCACGTGTCTCTCTTGAAAAGATAATCGACGTGTCTCAGTTTTTTTTTAATTCCGATATTTCCCGAAGTGGGAAGCTTTAATTGAAATTGAAAGAAAAAAACGTTGTTGATAACAGACTAAAATGCGCAAATAATTGTCTAGTGAATTTAAGTACTTCATAATTGCCAGTAGTCATTTTTTATTTATATGCAATGAAGTATATGTGTGTATGTACTTTGTCTTTGGAGATGATTTACATTTTCAGTGCGATGAACAGTGAAAGAAAGTTGAAAGAAAAGATTACGATGATTAAAAGTAGATTTCATAATATGCCTGTCATTATAAGGCCACACACGTTGTATATTGCATATCACTGTTTCCTTTAACAAATATGTGATTGTTAATCTTGATTTATCGTTATCGTAAAACGTATTATCGTATTAAAATAATTGCCAGTTGTGCAATGTCATTAATATTTGGTGTTCAATTTTACTTGATAATGGACAATAGACGAATTGTACTACAAAAAGAAATTAGTTTTCATTAAACACACACATACATAATAACTACTAAAAATAAAAACAAATCAATGCGTCGTTTCATAAAACGTACTCGCAAGGTTATTTTACATTAGAGAATTATGTAATACTGTATTTCATTAATTTTGTAATTAGCAATAAAGATATGCAAATGGACTGGATATATTTTATAGCTTCAAAATAAGTTTAGGAGGTATTTAACTAGCCCATAATTTAAGCAGAGGCGGGGGTGGTATATTATAATTTTGTGAATTGCTAATTTTTGGTGTTCACGAATTATTTCCAGTAAATTTGATCAAGAGACCTTGAAAGTAATAATTACGTGACAATTGATTACATATAATTAATTATATAAACAATAAATATAATAATGACTGGAACACAAGGCACTGTTTACGTATTCTGCTTGATAACACAGTGCAGAATAGAATACCTGCAATTTACAAAGTTATGTTAATGTATAATGTTTATAGATTATTATTATACCATGCGCATAATTATAGGAAATAAATTCTAATTCTGATGGCGTAGGTTTTCATCTATGGGATTTTAATTTCGAGTATGATTTTTACCTACTTATTATCATATTATTGTAACAAATTGAAATTTTTGAATTCGGATTTGAGATTCGTAATCAGCGACAACAAAATTTAGGCAAAACATGATAAGGGGGAAGTGCGATGTGGGCTTTATCTTATCCTCACTATTTCAGCCTATTTTAGAGGATGTTTTAGCGTTTTACTAAATGGTTAATCGGTTTTTGGGATGCCGATTCGGATTGAGCATCAAAAAAAGTACAGAAAATCTATGTACTCATGTCTCTGATACAAATCTCCTTTTTATGGAGCTGTGTGAACTATCAGGTCTAGGCTATCCTTAAATAAAATTGAGTGAACTCGCAAAGGGTTCCTGGGATTTAAAGTGAGTAAAAACCATCAATACAAATGAGAAAAGAGGTAATCAGCAAATTTAAACAAGAAAAAAATGTCTAACTTCCGAGATGACTTTCGGAAAACAATTTTTTTCCATATCTTTAAGGGTGAGGCTGCCTTGAAATAAAATTTCAAGGACTAGTGTAGAGTCCTTGGCACTAAAGGAGAGCCAAAGTGGTATATTTAAATTAAAAATATGTTTTGAATCCAAGACAATTCTTTCGGGAAACGATTGTTCTTTGACTTCTGGGCATTGATCTCAGGTTTTGAATGACTGTAAAGTCAATTCGAGAAATTTGGATATTCTGATTGTCGTATGCTGTAAAGTGACACACGCTGCAATTATTATTATGTATTCCACTGCTTTGGGGTATTCTATTTAGTTTTGAAACGGTTTTTACATTTTTGGAGCCGCGTAAAACTGAATTGGAGTATTTATTTTTATTCTGAGTTACTTTTTTGTAAATTTCGTTTAATTTATTTTTAATTATTCGTAATTTTCTTGTCACTCTCTCTATTCTCAAATAAAATTTTACACACTAGCGGGCCTTTGGCATTTAAAAGGAGTGTAAATGGTATTTATATGAATGAGCAAAAATCTCTAACTAAAACGGAGGATATTTTTAAATTAAAATTTTATGGACTTACAAAGGGCCTCTGGGATCCATAGGGGTAGCGACAGTAAATATACAAGGTGGCCAAATGAAAACGAAACAGAGCCATTTTCAGGAACTGCGTCAAGATTGTAGAAAAACGCTCAGACCCGTCGATTTTAGAATAAAGAGGGACATCCTTTGCTGGTATTTTTGACTCCGCCACTTTCATCCCCAAGCAAGGGTAAGCATCACCCTAAAATATTTAAATGGCACTGGTGGTTGAGTAATATTTCTTTTGAAAGCTCTTTACAACAGACTTTAAATTTTATAATTCTGCCCAATACTTATTAAGAATCACTATGGTTTATTCCATTGCGGAAAGAGTAGATATCATTTCGCTTTACTTTATGAACAATAAATGTGCGAATAGAACAGCTCAGCTATTTAATGAACACCATCAAGATCGACATGTCAGGAGGAGTTCTAGAGTTAGTAAAAAAATATTAAGAAACAGGGAACGTAGCCAATAAAAAACGAGAAATTGAAAAAGCTATAGTTAATGAAGCTAGTGAAGTTGCAGTTTTCGGACAAGTTCATCTTGATCCTACATTAAGTACGAGACAGCTGGCATCTGTGTCTGGGATCAATCCAGCATACAAGCCATTTTGAAGAAGAATAAATTCCGTCCATACAAAATACATTTAAGTCCAAGAACTTCATGAGGATGATTATGACCGCCGTTTGCAATTTTGCGAAATAATGAGTGAGCGAGCAGGGAACGATCCACAGTTCCTTTTTAACATCTGTTTTTCTGATGAATGCAGTTTTTTCTTGAACGGGACGGTAAATCGTCACAATTGCCGCTATTGGTCCGATTCAAACCCAAGAGTTTTTCACGAGGTGCATACACAGCAACCGGAAAAATTAAATGTATGGGCTGGAATTTTCGGTGACCGGCTGGTGGGTCCTTTTTTTCTACCTGGTAATTTGACTGGCCAAATGTATTTGCAATTACTGGAAGACGCTATTGACCCTGCCTTGACTGATATTATTGAAAATGTTCCAGAGTATGATGAAGATCATTTGATTTTTCAACAGGACGGTGCTCCTCCGCATTATGCGTTAATTGTCCGTCAGTATTTGGACCAACGTTTTCTACGGAATTGGATTGGGAGAAGAGGCAGCATTGAGTGGCCTCCACGATCACCGGATTTATCGCCCCTTGAATTCTTTTTGTGGGGATACCTAAAAAGTAAAATCTATAAAACACAGCCAGCGTCGCTGGAAAATTTGCGTCAAAGAATCGTCGACGAATGCCGTCGAATCACTCTGGAAATGCTTCGGAATGTGCGCGAACGTTTTGAACAAAATCTTTATCCTTGTATGGAAGCGGGCGGTCACCAGTTTGACCATTTAATCAACTAAGTAGTAAGTAAACAACTAAACATAATTTAAATTTTAAAATGTAAATTTTTTTCAAAGTATTGGGCGGAATTATAAAATTTAAATTCTGTTGTAAAGAGAATTGTAAGAGCTTTCAAAAGAAATATTACTCAACCCCTAATGCCATTTAAATATTTTGGGGTGATGCTTACCCTTGCTTGAGGGGTGAAAGTGGCGGAGACAAAAATACCATCAAAGAATGTCTGCTTTTAATCTAAAATCGATGGGTCTGAGCGTTTTTCTACAATCTTGATGCGGTTCCTGAAAATGGCTCTGTTTCGTTTTCATTTGGCCACCCTGTATATACGAAAAATAGTAAATTTAATTTTTAAATTATATATGGTTTATTAAAAGATATATTTTTTGTATTTTAAAAATCTGGAGGAAGAAGATCATATATTTACTGAATATTTTACCTGAAATGAATCAAATAAAAAACTATTAGTAGAGGAAGAATTTGGCTTTATTTTATTTTGTCACAATATCAGTACAAAGACTATGAGGTCGCCTAATCTTTATGATCTTTAATCCACACATAGCCTGTAAGTAACAAGATAAAAGAAAACGGTAATTCCATTTTTAATCGCCTATGGCCTAATTTCTCTAATTTATTGAATAATTCTTTGTACATTATAGGAACTTCTCGCCAAAGTGACTGAAAACTTCAAGCAATCTTTTCTCGTACTCGCCCTGGTCTTGCAGCGTAAAATCAAACAAGCCGTCCAGTCTCTCTCCCTTCTCTGCGGACTCAGCGAAGTCCACAACCTCGTCGGACTGACAGAGCTCTATCTTGATGATAAGGGGGGTCAAAGCTAGACCATACCTCCCGTACTTCTTCCACTGTTGTTTCAATTCGTTGTAAGTTAAAATTTCGTCAACGTTGCACCCGAGCTCTTTGAGAGAGTCCGAGAGGCTCGTATGGTAAGCCTGGAGGAGGAAATCGAAGTGATCCAAAACTGTTTTGTCTGCGCAGGAGTACAAGTAATATGACAGGTCTAGGATTGGGGATGCTACTCGTGATAGTTGGAAGTCTATGAAGCGCATGTCGACGGGTTGGATCCTGTTTCCATCCTAAAAAATAATATTGCAATGTATAAATTGATTAAAAAGTTAATAATTTTTGTATTTAGGGTTTAAACCTTGCCGAATAATTGAAAATTATCATACTTTTACAGAAATGTGTTCTAAAGAAGCTTGTAACTTTTTATTGTTTTAAATTTAAATTTATATTTGTATTGGAGTTTCCAATGTATAAAACATAATTTTAATTTGTGTTCAGTTCCTGCTCCATACGCCATTGTTCTTAGGTGCAATAAATGCACTGAATTGGAAAAATACCGTTTACAAGAAGCTGTTAATTAAGCATAATAATAATAATTTTTAGGTTAATTTAAATCAACTATTAATGGAACTTATACAATTATTTTTCAGTGTTAATTACCTATTTTTTATCAGTACGAACGTTTTATTCATACTGTTACGTATAGATTAGATAATATATTGTATAACATGATTTCATTGTCATGTCAATAATATTTTTATTACAACAGAGTGAAAAGATAGTAATGATACTGAAAACAAAAATACAAGGTGTTCCACCTAAGAGGGATTCTTCTAACTCTGCAACTGTAAAATTTATAAAAAAATAGTTTTAATAAAAGTTGCCTGGAATCATATGGGCCATGTAAAGAAAATATTTTTATTTCTACAGGGTGTTCCATTTCGCGTGGACGCTACATAACTTTGTTATTTTAAATTACTGTATATTATTGCATTTTTGAATTCCTTCGTTAATATTAGGTAGAGTTTATTAAATGTATATGGTCTTTAAAACTTTCCGTTTTCGAGATAATCAGTAGTTTTTGAAAAAAAACTACAATTTCAGCTGCCTAAATGAGGCTAAAGGTAAAATTGTATTTTTTTTCAAAAAACAACTGATTATCTCGAAAATGTAAAGTTTTAAACACCATGTACATTTAATACACTCTACCTAATATTAACTAAGGAATTCAAAAAACGCAATAATATACAGGGTGTTCCATTTAAAATAAAGTTTTAATAAAACCATTTTTTTTATAAATTTTACAGTTGCAGACTTACAGAAGAATCCCTCTTAGGTGGAACACCCTATACAGGGTGTTTTAAGTTTTATGAGGAACGTCTTCCTAAAGTTTATCGACAGAATCCAGAAGCACCCTTCCGAAAAATCAATTTTGCCATGAAACTATAAGAGTTAGGAAAAAAGTGAATGTACACTTTTTGTAAATAACAAACTGTTCTATTTAAAAACAGCATCATTTTCTATTTTCAGCAGGCCCGTATTAATTTTTTTTATAATCAATGAGTCTGAGTCTCCATAACTCCGCCACTGGTTGCTTGCCGGACTTCTACTTCTATGGAAAAATGGTATCTTATAAAAATATGTGTCATGCCAAATTTAGTTATTTAGAAAATTCGAATTTTTTAAAAAATCTTTAACGCCCTATATTTTGAAAATGAAGCGTCTCTGGAAAAAAATGTATAGGTACTTGATTTTTTTCTTATTTTTTGTGAGGAATATATCCTTAAAGTTTGTAGACTTAATCCTGAAACACCCTGTATACAGGACGTATCCTAAGTCTATGTCACAAGGGGATGATTGCTTGGGTCATTTTAGGCCCATAAGCCTTAAAGGGGCCTAAAGTTACTGGTTGCCAATATAGAGGGCGTTAAAGTTTTTGAAAAATACCATATTCTTTCAATTATCTCTAAAGTTGTTTGAAGTAGATTGACGAAACTTGGGGAAATGATGTTAACTTTTAACCAATGGCGGAGATTTAGAGGAGCTTTGTCATTAAAACCCTCAGAAAAACTACGCCACTGGATTTTTAGAAAAATTAATAAGCGCGTTTAATTTACTGGCATCTTCTTAATAAAAATGGCCTCTTGCAATTTCTTCACACATTTCTAGCTTTGGATTCATTTAAAAAAATTGGTTTAGGCAAATAAAGAAGACAATATTACAATTTTCTCCTACCTCATACTTGAACATCATGTTGTTGTTCCAGCAATCCCCATGTAGAATCACAGATTGCGGACTGTTTGGATCGCAATATTTTGTCAAGTATTCCTCCAATCCATTCTTCAATCCTTCACATTTATCAGCCAGCTCATTCTTTCCACTATCTTTCAAAATATCGATAACAGTTTCAAAACCTTTAGTCAGAACTGGAAAAATGTTCGTTTGCGTTAACAACTTCCCCATAACGTCGGTCATATTTTTTGTTAAACTTTTGAATAGAGCTGGTTTTCTTATTCTCATGGCAAGCGAGATTGCGTGCAGGCTTCCGTAACTCCTGAAGACGAGCAGGGCGTGGTTCAAGTTTTGAGGCTGTCTTCTATCGTGTACTTCGAACCCCGTCATCTTCAGGTTTTCCATTATCAGCACCTCTCGCTTGTTCTCGTTGGAGGCGCTGAAGCACCTAGCGAACTTGTTGAAGGGGGCTTCCAGAGCACATTCTTTTTGAAACTCTCTGAAGATGGGCATTACCTTGGTGTACATGAAGATTTCCCTTTCGTACGCTTCCTTGACGGGTGTTTGCTTCCTAAGTTCGTCACTTTTCTTTGCAGACTTCACAACTAGGTATATATCCTTGTCTTTCACCATTCCCAGTTTGGTGGTTACTTTGACGAAGGTGACCTCTCCTAAGTATCCATCACCTTTGATGGAATTTCCAGAAACGTCGAGTTTGTAGTTGGAGATGCCTTCTTGGATCATGGCATTATCGATCCAGGATTCCAGATCTGTCAAAGTTACAGCCATTTTATTTACACTAGGTTATAAACGACTTACTTCGGAGTGAAGACAAAGTAGTTATGAAGCTTAAATATATTCAAAACCAGATTACTATTTTATTATCTTCTAGTTTCTTGAAAATTTTAATTGAAGATAATATTGCAAATTACTTTGCGTTTTCGATAAACGTTTGTTTCTCATGCTTGCAATCATGCAGTGGCAGAGCCTATATTATTTTTATGTAATATGCAATTATACAACTAAGCAGGCAACTGTGGTTTTAATGGGACTTTTTGCCGCATGATACAATGACAAAAATTTCAACGCGAAGGTCAAATTTTATGTCGTTATTTACTTGTTAAACAATACTTTGGTTAATATATGTATTGCAAGATCTCTAACGTATTTATTTCTCATCGTTAACTTAACTATATATTTAAAAGTTATTGATGTGCTAGATAATAATAGTACAATTATTATACAGGGTGTATTCTAATTAACAGCACAAATTAAAAATATTAGAAGCAAAAAAGACATGACTCCGCAAACGAGTCGTTTACGAGATAATTTATAATTTATGCATCCGGATACAAGGACGATACTTTTAACACTGCCTTTAACTAGGAGTAAGGACACTGTACAGGGTGTCCCAAACTAGACGCCTCAATGATATTACAGGGTAACGAAAAATGTTACTGGAAATCTGAATTTTTTTCCATCTAGAAAGAAGATTGAGTTTCCTTGCACAAATCACGGCAGCTGCTGAAATTTCTGATCGACGAATATTTCATCATATTCTTAGGACGTGTGAAAGCCGTTTTGTAAGCAATGGTTTACCTAATAAAAAAAAATATACGTTATTGGTCCATTGAGATACCACCATACTTTTATGAAGGTGTGTTGATAGTTATTAAAAAAAAATCGATATTCAGGGGCATCCTTTAGCGGCCTGCATCTCTGTAGGGGGGCCTTCTAGAGAATTTTTTATAGGAACTTGTCATATTAACGTCCCCTGTATAAATCCGAGAGACTGCCTACATATTCTGGGACATCCTGTATACATGAACTAGAACAAGATGTTGTTCAATGTGTAATTTGGACAAGTTTTACTTCCTTGAGTCTCCCAGGTTTCAGTATAATCTGCAGGCAAAATTAAAGTAGCTAAAGGTATGCAGAAAACCTACTGCTAAGCTCATGAGGCATATGAATTTTATATAATTATTTATTTGTTTAAGAAATTATAATTTTGTAGTTTTTTTTGATGAAGAGATCACACTGTATATCGATTCTAAAAGATTTGTTACAACATTTTTAGTTTATACTATTGACATACAATACAGGGTGATTCAGATCTTATCCAAAAAAAATTTGGATATATAGAGTACTCTTACAAATACAATTTGGTAAAGAAAAAATAAAAAAGGGCAGTTCAAAAATGATTTAAAAATACACTTCTGCACAGCACTGGAAACTGGTCCACTATAAAACCTGACCTGGCACAATGCGACCGGCACGGCGGGCGACAAAGTGTGATAAAACCGGACAAAAACTTGAAAGAATTTCGCAAGGAAAGGAATAATTAGAATTTTATAGCACCTATTTTATATCAGCAATTTCAACTGCTTTTGTCGCTATTAAAAATAATTTGACATACACTACTAAAAAACTATTGTCAACACTAACGCAACGAGGATTGTAAAATCGGATTTCAGTATTCGGTGTCGCTGAGGCCACGTGGCTCTCCGCGCGTATTGCGACTGACGCTAGAGACTACAGTTGCCCAGCTATGTAATGCTTGAAAGTACTACAACTTTAATATTTTTTTCCCGGAAACTATAAGGATTTTATATTTTTTTTACAATTGTGGGTACACATGTTCGCAAGTGACCCATTTTTAAGCACAACGTCAAGAACGCCGCCGGACGCACCACGGGGTTCCCGGAAGACAACCCCTGCAGAGTGGCGCCAAGGAGCAGGGACTTCTACCAGCAACTACGAATGTACCTACGACCGACTTCAACCACAAGGCAATCTCCAGCAAACCCTCAAACCATCAACATTACTTTTTCTACACAAGCTTAGTTTTCAATAAAAATAGTTTATTTGTACCGTTGAGAGAGCGTTTTATCTTGCTGTAAACCCTGTATATTCAATAGACAAAGTGACCTCCGAGATAAACAAAAGGTCAGTTCAGAGATGTACCGAATAAAAGTGTCGTCAGAAATTATAGCGTACGCACGTGCATCGCGTTTCATTAGGAAGTATTATATAATTCATAAATAAATAATAATTATGCAGTGGCAGGGTTTAACTTTTTTCTTAAAGGAGCGATAACAATTTTTATTAATACCCAATTGGTATTATAAGCGAAACAGTTTTTTCAGCTTTCAGAGAAATTGTCGAACAAAACACAACATTCTGTTTCACCGACTGTGATTGGTGTAATTATTCACGAGATTCTATCCAACCAATTAGATATGGCATTATCTCGAACGTAGGCGTAATGGTTTATTGCTGTTCATGTTGGTTGCCTGAGCTCGGTGGTCACGTGGCTTGCAAACATACTGTACATACTGCATTGTTATAATTTCTTAGCTATTTTTATGCAACAGAATGACACAGCAATGAATTTACTATCAGTGCAATTACGAATAGTTTCATTTACTATTTCTCTTGCGATAAGAGCTGATAATTAATGCTAATGTTGAACGTTAATATTCCACAATTTTCCACATTTACCTTTTTTGCCATTTTGGGTTGATAACAACCATATTTTTGCTTAATCTTATCTTATTAGTCCAGTAATTACGTGCTATAACTTATCTTTAGCTGGAAAATTTTGCGGAAGTTTTCATATACTGCAATTTTACGTATTTTGAGCTTCTCATTGCAAAATTTTCATTTGCCGCCATATTGTAGTAGTGGGGAAAAAGAGATTTTTGAAGATATCTCGTTACTCGTTGATTTTACAGTAAAAATAGTTATGTAACAAATTAAAGACCAGGAAATTTGCTACAAAATAGGTTCTAACTATTTTTTTTTCAAAAAACCAACCTGTTTTGGATAGGAGACTAACAAATGTCACCATTGCAGTGAAAAGTAATTTTTTCCACACCACCATGAGGTAGAGTATATGGCGCTCCTGAGGTACCAGTTTTATCGATGTTTTTGATAATTGAAAGCAACGATGTCATGTGGGATCAATTCCTCTCGCGCAGTAGCTCGTTCTCTAATTTCTGTATCGATTTCATTACACAGTGGTTCTAAGATCGTATCAGTGTCTTCATCGTCATCACTATCTTCCAATGCTTGAGGCATGTTATCATATCTATTGTCACAGTTTGAGCAAATTATAGAATAGTTGAGCCATCCTTTCCTACATCCGCATGCTCTCCGACATCCTCTCTTGCATTTACAAGAAATTAGTTTAAGGAGAACTTCTGGAGCAGGGGCTTGGAGTGTAGTCAGAGGGACAAGACATTTTTGTCATCCCTCCATCCCCATTGATCTTTCCGTTACCAGTCCATTGCTGTACCTGATGATACGTTCGGAACGAATGTTGTCTTGCTATTGCTTTTGTAGCAGGCAATGAAGCGATGCTAAATTTATTCCTGTATGCTGATTGTATGAAGCATTGGTACCTACAAGTGTTCAGAGGTATAAATTCCTTTTTATTACAGCCGTAAAGTCGGAGAAGAAAGTATTTTCCAGCTTTAGCTACATTTGCTTTGTCAGTGTCTTTTTCTTTAGATAATTTCGTGAAGATTAGGTTTTTTTTTTGCAACACATTAAGAAATTTGAGCTTGCCCTGATTGAAAAGAGACGACGTCGTCAACAGTTTTGTAGAGAAAATTGTGTAGTTTTATTTAATATAGAATCATTTTTGTTGTAAAATTAACCAGAAACAAGATATATACAAAAATTGGTTTCAGGTCTCTTTTTTCTAAGAATAGCAGCGCCTGCCTAAAACTTAAATTTCTTCAGGTAAATTCAAGTGGTTACTGGACTATATCGCCTTGTGGCGGTATGTACTGATTTTTTAATATTTTAAAACAGCATTTGTTAGTCATTATTCCATGATTCCATAAATAGATGGTGCTTTAAGACTACAACAGAACCAATGTAATTTAATTTCTCAATCTCTTTCAGTACTAATTACTACTACAAATATTTGAGCTAAAATTAATTTACGATTATTGTATAAACTCGATTTAATTACGGCATTTCTATTATTGTCTTCCATTAAGCATTGGTGGTGGTATCTTGGTAATAAAAGTTTATCACAAACATTGCATGTATGCATAAAAATTCAAAAACATTATTATAGTCAGAGTTTTAATCACACTTGATATAATTAATTCCTGTTTATGAAGATATTTCTTTACTTTTATTTAGAGTTTATTGTGTTTAGTATTAAATAGTTACGAGAGCTTAAAATCTTCAAGTTATGTCAACTTGCTATTATTATAGAAATCCTAATGTAAATCTTTATAAGATAAGACGCCACTGTAAATTGCACTCTGTCTCAACCATAATCAAAGCAGTTCGTGACTCTCCAGTTCCTATTCAAATAGCGTGAGCTCTACACAGCTTCTGTTGTTCGTGCGCTCTGGGATAATTCTACGAGAGAATATGAATCAAGTAGTTCCACTGAAAATTTTCGACATATTGAAGGACGTGGTGCAAGGAGACATTGAACATTTTTTAGTTACTGTACATGGATCAAACAAAAAAGGTGAAGGGTACTTGGGGGAGATGTTCTTTGTATCATTAAAAGACAAGAGAAATGGCAACCAGTTGAACGTCGTAGTGAAACAGGCATTTTCCGAGGAAAATATCAGAAATTTATTCCCCATTAGGGATGCTTTCCTGAACGAAATCTACTTCTACAAGAAGGTATGGCCGAAGTTTAAAAAATTCCAAGAGGTAATTCCTTCCGCTTACCGTTTTGATAACGTTGCAAAATGTCTGGCTTCTCTTTCCAAAGACCACTACGAATCTCTGGTTCTGGAAAACTTGAAATATGACGGGTTCGTGCTCCAGGACAAGAAAGAAACTTTGAAAAGAGACACATTCGAATTCATTTTTAAGGTATATGGAAGGTTCCACGCTATATCATTCGCATATAAAGAATTGAATCCTGAAGAATTCTCCGAACTCATCAACGAATTTACTGATGTATGGAAAACCTTCGGTGGTCTAAAAACTTTCCAAGAATCCATCAGATTAACGCAGGAGCAAAGCTTAGATAGTCTCAAACCAGGAGTGGATAATGAAGTTATTGAAAAATACAGGCACTACCTTGATGATGGGGTGGAAATGCTTCATAAAAGCTTTATCAGTAGCAAGTATGTTTGTATTACCCACGGTGACTGCTGGAGCAATAATATGATGTTCAAATATGATGTAAGTACTGCCCCTTTGGGGAATTTTCATAATATGTACAGGCTGGTCAATTTTCGATGGGAATTCAGGGTATTTCAGAAACTACTAAAGATATGATAAATCTGACACGACGTTTTCGAGCTCGATTTTCATGGCAAACTCGACTGTCAAATAGAAAATTTGCTATTTTCATTTGTTTCTGAGTTACATGGCGTTTCTCGTTATTGTCGCATTTTTTAGCATGTCTATGAGTTTTATTAATTATTCTATTATTTCTTTACTAATTCTTCTTTAGAGTAATTTATTTCACAATTATTACTATCGCTCTTCTATTAAACCTTATGTGAATCGAAAATTTTCCATATTATCCTTTGACAGGAGCCTACTACGTTATTTTACATATAAGCTATTTGTAAACTTCGCATTTTTTCATAGAAATGAGATTTCATGAAACACTATGAATTTTGGTATAGGAGCATGTATAGCAAAGTTGTAGAGAATTTAATTCTGCATCTCATGGTATGAAAATGTACAGGGTGTTCCATTTAAAAAATTCTGGGAAAGTGTTATCTAAATATTGCTGCACAATCCTGGCCTTGTGGCCTTACTACAATTTGAGCTATAAAATTAAGTCTGTTTTCAATGTGACGCTCAGGTAAATACTCCAAATTATGAATTTTGTAGTTATGATACCCATTGGTCTTTAAAATTCGTTGAACGGCAGATTTATCCATATTCAATTCCCGGCTAGCCTGCCGTATAGAATTTCGTGGATTTTGTTTGAAATACTGTAACAGCCTAGCTGTATTAATTAATTGTTTCTTACCCTTCGGTCAATTATTTGATTTTTCTGAACAGAAAATGCATCTTCATTTCGTCGCAAGGTCGCCTCCGATCTTGTAAAGCTTCTATGATCAGGAATAAATAAATAAATAATATTCAATTATTTTCCAACGCCTACTTGATCGTTCCACCGCTAATGTGATTTTTAGATATTGCTTATAACTTTTAAACTTTTATTAGAGAAATTTTTCTGTATTACTTCTGTACTGTATTACTGTAATACAGAAAAATTTCTCCAATAAAAGTTTATTAGAAAGAAAAGAGCTATTTAACAGAAAAAGTTTGGGTATGTTTCTGGAAAAGATATGACTGATTTCCGATTGAAAATGGAGCTTACCTCATCCCATAGACGAATTCTTTGTTTATGTATAGTAAATCATGCTTTCTAATATTTATTGGCATTTCTAAAGATCTAAAGCGTATTTCTTGTATTAGGAAACTGGTAAACTAGTGGATCTGAAGTTGTTGGACTTCCAAATGTTCAGGCTAGGATCACCCGTGTGTGACCTCGCCTACTGCTTGTACTCTGGGGGCACCAAGGCCATCTTCGATGATGTAGACCATTTCCTCCGAATCTACTACGACAGTCTCTCAGAAAACCTAAGAGAGTATGGATGCGATCCAGACAAAATTTATCCCTTTCAGGCGATCAAGAATGAGTGGAAAGTGTACTGCCAGCTAGGATTTATAGTAGGCATGATGGTATGGAGGGGGAAAATGACCTATGAGGATGACGCGGTCGACCTTACCGATTTGTCGAATAATGAAGAGGACCTGAAGAAATTTTTTGAGACCAATTATGACAAGGAGACTTTCCAGAGAACAATGAGAGATATTATTTTGCATTTGTTTGAAAACGATTATTTGTTTTAGATGTATTTTTTTACAACTTCGGAAAATAAGTAAATAAAATGTAAGAAAGTAAAATTAATAGACATGCCAAATAATATAAACAGCTCGAAGTTTAAAGGTTTCATAACAGGGTCATCGTTAGTTTAACCCTAGACATTGTTTAATAAACTAGTTTGTTATCACAGTAAGTATTTGTAAGTGACTTGAAGTACAAAATGTAAATAATAATTTAAGTGGTTATTACGAAGATTGATTGTTCTAGTATATTACTGATGTAATTGACGATAAAATTGATGTTGGGTAAATAAATAGGAAGAACTAGAGTGGTAGCCTTATTTGATCAGTTGAAATGAGATTATACAGGGCGTGTGTTCCACACAACCCATCTTCTGAGTTTCCTATAAATATACTGTACCTCTCCATTTGAACATTTTGATGTAATTCTATTACAATAACACAATATTTTTTATTTATCCTTTGTATAGTTGTTGAATAAACAATATCTTATCTACTCATTTCACTGCTAACAACATATTCATATTAGATTTGTGTTTCAGTTACATCGTACAACTGTTTGATATTCATTAATCGAATGAGTGAAAGACAATGAGTAATATCGTTTCACCGAAAATCTGCAGTCGCAAGAAGTGTGATGAGTTCTGGGAAATATATTTCCAAGACGTTATGAAAGTAATATGTACATAAGTACTCCTTGAGATGTTTTGAGCCAGGCCTGGATCGTAAAACAAAGTTGATGATGCATCGGAGGAGTTTTGCTAGAATTTGGCTAATGGGAAATATTGTACTAATACCCATGACGATAGCTAGAGCAATAATATAATGTTCAAATAAGATGCATGTATTATAGTATCATTTGCCGTAACAATTATTATTAGTTTTTGACTTAGATAAGTAACACAACAAAACAAATCATTTTGTGATGATTAAAATGATCTTTTTAAATATTTAATTTACGAAAAATCCTTATACACATAACTACAATAGACACAAACATGCGGCAAAAGTAAAAAGTTATGCTAAAAACAGAAAATACAAAAAGGATATCACAAATTTGAGCTTAGCGAGTTCTCTGCTGCAAAGTAAAATTATTGACATTTCAAATTTTTTGGCAATGTCCATGATTTCATGAATTTCATTTCCTTTATCACAATATAAATCCAAAAACGTATACACTCACTGGTCAAAATTCAATACAAGTCTTTTCTTCAGTTTGACCTTGAAACAACCTTTACCTGACCTCCAGGTGACCTTAGATAGCTAAGCTATCCCCGAATTCAGGTTCAGCGATCCCAAAAGCATTGTACTTACTGGTCAAAATTAATTACATGCCTCAGTTTTTGATTCCATCAACTTGAAACTTTGTAAAGCTTACTCAGGCCTACAGTAAAAATCACATACTTTCCCCCCTCCTTATCTCTGAAACTATTCATAGGATCACTTTGGGCCCATGACAACTTTTGATCAAAAAGTCAAAAACTTATTACATAGGTACTTTGTAACTCCTTATATCTATCACTATTTGCTTATAATATCTACTAACACAAAATGCGCAAAAATAGTATAAATAAATCTAGTAAGAAAGGCAGTTTTACTGAATTCACATAGCTTTTGAGTACGAGCGAGTAACTTTGCTTTGCTTTTCTAAACTTACTATTACGACACCACAATTACTGTTTTAAACTTTATACTAAATGCAGTTAACTATTTATTTTTTATTCTTAGTAGGTAAGTATACTAGTTAATATGTTGTATTAAAAAACTGTTTTTCAACATTTTCAGATTTGCAGAAACGATCTAGAGATTTAGCAATTTGATTACGATTTTTATTACGTGTCATTTATAATATTTAATAAACAGTGCGTTATTTATACTTCAAAGATAAGATGTCGGCATTAACATTATATTCAAGTTAAATAGTATAACGCTGAATGTTGGAGTGTCGGTTCATCGAATAAGCAATAGCTCGCATTGCAGATATACGTTTTTGCTTAATCGAGTTTTGAATGATTTCAAATCACAATGAGTATCGTTCCACTAAAAATCTATGAAATACTGGAAAAGGCAGTGAATGGCAACATTGAAAATTTCGAAGTTAATGTGCAAGATCCCAATAAGAAAGGTGAAGGGTTTCTAGGACAGATATTTTTCGTTTCATTGAGAGACAAGTATACTGGTAAGCAGCTGCACTTTGTGGTGAAGCAAGCTTTTTCCGAGCAAAATATAAGAGACATGCACCCGATTAGGGACGTCTTTGTCACCGAAATCTACTTTTACAAGAAACTATGGCCGAAATTATTAAAATTTCAAGAAAAAGTTTCTCCAGCGAACCGTTTTGTCCATCTGGCAAAGTGCTTCGCTACGGCATCGGAAGAGAACTGCGAGAGACTGCTGCTTGAAAATTTAAAATATCAAGGATTTGTGATGCACGACAAGAAAAAAGCTTTGGAGAAAGAACAGTTCGAGTTCATTTTTAAAGTTTACGGGAAACTGCACGCTATCTCATTCGCATATAAGGCTTTGGACCCTGAAAGCCTTTTAGAGTTGGTTGAGGGAGTGACCGATGTGTGGATAGTTATGTCTCACAAGTCACATTTTCATGATGCTGTCAAAATAATACACGAGGAGTCTTTGGAGTATTTAGAACCAAGTGTGGAGGGCGCTATTATTAAAAAATATAAGCACTACGTTGATGATGGACTTGACTTACTTCTCAAAAGTCTGGCTAAGGGAAAATACACTGCCATTACCCATGGGGATTGTTGGAGTAATAATATGATGTTCAAATATGACGTAAGTACCAACATACTGGACGGTGTTGCAAAATGTTCAGTGCAGATTCTACATCCAAATATACGAAAAAAAATTCCATAAACGTAGGTCCGCAAATGCTTCGTTTTCGAAATACAGGGTGTCAAAAAAAATGTTTATTGATATTGAATTTTTATTGGTAATTTCTAAATTTTCCATTGGAAATCGTTTAAATTTGGGTCAATACATTTATGATACGTAGGTTATAATTTGGTATAATCGATTGCGTAGATATGGGGGAGTACCTAATGATCTTTGACCAGAAAAGCTACACCACTGGTTTTTCTACTGGATTTTACTTTATTTTTAGGACCCCATTCATTTTATAGTAAAAAGGCTCCCTTGCACATTTGTCAATTAGCGAGCGGCTTTCGAGCAGTTGATTAAAAATCAGCATGATTTTTAAAAAGACCCAAATGACCCAAATTTAAACGATTTCCAATGAAAAATTTAGAAATTATCAATAAAAAAAATATATTTTTATTTTTTTTGACCACCCTCCATTGCGAAAACGAAGCATTTGCGCATTTACGTTTATAGAATTTTTTTCGTATTTTTGGATGTAGAATCTGCTCTAGAATTCTCTGAACAACATTTTGCAACACCCTGTATAATATAAAACTTTGCTGATTTTGAAGTTCCTGTAATTTTTTAAGGTTGTAACTTGTAAGATTCTTAGTACTTCTATAATAAAACAAAAAAAAAAATACATATACATTAACTATAATTTGCTACAAAAGTCAGCTTGATTAGACGACCTTTAACCGTTCTTATATCTTGCTTGACCATTGTTCATAAAATAACGTTCAGAATTGATTTTAAGATTAAGTTAAAAAATAAATAATAATGAGACTGCTATTTAATTAACAACAAAGAAAGGCTTTCGCAAATATATTTCAAGGCCTACATAATCTAATTTGTAAACAGTATGATAAAACCTCAAATATCGCAATTGGTACTGTAACAAAACAAACGATTGTACAGGGTGATTCACTATATTTTGACTCCCCATTAACTTTTTTGTTTTAAGTTATAAAAAAATGTAAAATACAAAAGTTGCACGATTTTTTATGAAATTTTCGAAAATGATAGAGGAAAAACAAAATGGCCGCCGATGTTAACTTTCTTAATTTAAATGGAACACTCTGTATAGTTTTACATATTTGGAGAGAACGTTCCCTGTCGAGCATATTCATATAGGTTATGGTTTGTTGGGTCCATCTCTAACAATAAGTAAGATAATATTAAAATACGAAAAGTACATATAAATATTATGATTTTTAAAAATTAAAATATTGTCTTTTTGGATGATTTTATGAAAATTCCATTTTTAAATTTGATTTTACTTAATCAAAAAGCTTTTATGGTAACAATGGACGTAATTTTGTTACTACTTTTCCAGGAGAGTTATTAGCTACCTATCATGCTCTTTTGGCAGCCGTTAAAGTAATGTCTATAAAATACAGGCTATTACAAATTCGCTTCTCACTACAGGGATCTCGGAAACGGTAAGAGATACGAAGTAGTTTAAATAGGGGCAAAGTTGTATAATCGGGGCAGCAACATTGTGCCTCTAAAAATCAATGCTAACATGATTAGTTTTCGAAATAATTGAAAAATACCGAAAATTTGGAAATCCATTTTTGTTTCATTTCAGCCTTGTTTGAGGTGATATTGAAAAAATAACACTTTCTCATGACAACTTTTTGCCCTCTATCAAATGGCATAATCAATTTTTATATGTAACGTTTCTTCTCTCTAGCTACTTCGTATCTTTTACCGTTTCCGAGATTCCTGTAGTGAGAAGCGATTTGTAACAGCCTGTATATATCATAAAATAAGTTTATGAAATTATCTACGTTTATAATAAAAGGTCTGACTTTCAGTGAACACGACACAAAGGCACTTTATGAACACCCACTCGTAAACCGATAAAGTTGAATAATAAACTAAAAATGTAACCAAACAAAACAGTGCAATATTCGGTCATTCCCGATCTATACTAGGCGCGAGGATAGTCGGCATATCAGCTTCCAAAGACGCGTTGCAACAGAAGAGCAGTGGCTAATTTTCATTGCACCTTGGAAGCGTTCGGAACTAGATGGGATTCTAGTTAAATTTAAACTATTCACCGTTTAATTTTATTTATTTTGGATTAATTTACACAGTAGCTAAATTTCAATGTCAGTGGCCATTAACACTTAGATTTACAAATTAAATATACATGGTGTTCTAAAAGTCCATCAGGAAACTCCGAGGTAATTCTACGGATTAAAATAGTAAGAGTAGAAGAAAGTCTGGGAAAATCTGTATTACTAAATTATTTTCCATTGTCACTTCCAACAATATACTACTAATATGTAAATTCTGAATGCTCCGGTTTAAGCCACATGTTTAATATAATTTTGCTTGGGTAAAATAATTTGACATTACCCGATATATTGTATAAATAACCAATGTAAAATTTTTAATCTTTGAAAAACAGATCCTGTGATTTATGTTCCAGAACTCCGGCGAGACAGTCGACGTAAGATTCTTGGACTTCCAAATGTTTAGAGTGGGATCTCCAGTTTGCGATCTGTCGTATTGTTTGTACTCTGGAGGCACCAAAGAAGTCTTCGACGATTTGGACCACTTGCTCCACGTCTACCACGATAGTCTTTCAGAAAGCCTTAGGGAGTACGGATGTGATCCAATGGAATTATATCCCTTGGAAGCATTAAAGAATGATTGGAAAGTGCACTGCCAGTTTGGAGCGGCTATGGGTCTTATGTTATGGAGGGCAAAGTTGACCTATGATAACGATGTGATGGATCTTTCCGACATGTGTGAAGATGAGGAAGGTGTAAAGAAGTTTTTCCAAGCCAACTGCGATGAGAATACTTTTAAGGAAAGGGTGAGAGATATTGTTACTCATTTGTATGAGAATAACTACATCATTTAGGCGGTATGTACTTAATTCAATTGTTTAGGATTTAATTGTTTCAATTTTAGGAAATTATACTTTACTGTTATCATGTGTTAAATATACCATATTTGTAGGGTACATACTTCTTTTAATTTTCCCTTTAAATACTGCTTCACTTCAATTCAATTAGTTTGACATGGAGTACCTCAGGGTTCCGAACTAGGACCACTTTTATTTTTAATTTATGTAGATGATACATTTTATGTCGCCAAAGAAATTCATTCTCTTTACCACTTTCTCTAATACAAGTGGCAGTGTAGAATCCTTGATGGATCCTGTGTTGGTTACTAATGAGATGGCAGTAAATTGGTTTTCGGCATATGATTTAACATACAATCCAGATAAAACGCAGCAATTGTTTCTGTTTAATAAAATGTCTAACGGTGGGTTTCTCAATTATGATATATTGTGGTATCTATGTTAGTTTATTTCCTTCGCGCATTTCATATGCTGTCTTTTGTGGGGTAATCAGGCGCTGCCGGAAAAGTTTTTCTCCAACAAAAAAAAATATTTCGCACTCTAGCCAAGGTTAATTTCCGCGACCACTGTCATCCCCTTTTTTAAAAATTTAGAGGAATGCCCTTCTTTATTTGTTTATCAGACATACATAGTAATAAATAAGATTTTAGTGTGCAAGGTGACCATCATAATTACAATACAAGGCAAGCAAGTTATTTGAGACCTCTAAAATTTAAATTTACAAAATCCAAAGAGTATTTATTAAACTTAAATATAAAATTGAGCCCAATTAACTAGATGATTACAATTTATAACATTTAAAAATTAAAACAATTAAAGCAAGTTTAGGTTTTTGGTTATTTGAAAATCTATATAATAAATAATTTTTCACGTTTTAAAGTTAAAAATGTTTTTTTCTAAACAAAAATGAAAAAAAAATTCTCAAAAATTATTTTTTTCAAAAAAATTTATAACATATCCACAAGCTTTACAAACGTCAATAATCTTAAACATGCCCAATGGGGTTCAAGTCGGGACTCATAGGTGGTTGAGAGTTACCACGTTGTTGGCGTGAATAAAATTTCTCGTACATTAGGCAGTACGCGATATTAAATTGTGATCTGCAACGTCAAATGAACCAAATTTTCTTTGACGTTTGTGAAGCTTGTGGATGTTTTTTCTGGAAAAAATAATTTTTTTTTAATTTTTTTTTAGATGTATGAACGTTTTTTGATGAAGAAAATATGAATTATTGTTAAAACACATTTTTAACTTAAAAAAATGAATAAAAAGCGATAAATTATTTATTACATGGATTTTCAGCAAAAACGACAAATTTAGACATACTGTAACAAAAGCCGGAACGCGTAGTAATTTATTTGTTAGTTCTCGGAACGGATGGGCCAAAAAGTAAAATATTTCAGTCAACACAAATCATCGAAAGTTAAGGGCTCTCAAGTGGGTTAGCGTCGTCCTTCGGAGAAATTCAGCAATATTTTTTTGAACAAGTTCACTTAGAGTCGGGGCCATGTGACAGTCATATGTTGCGTCCGGGAGGCGCCAGCCTATGCTGGGACAGAACAAAGAGAAAAATCGATATTTTTAATAACACGCGAAACCACGAAAAGAGCGTAGAGGTTCCAAAGTAGAATTAAATCAAATTGTTAAATTGATAGTAATTGGAAAAGAAAGTAAAATAGCTGGTTTTTAGGCGGATTTTCAAAGCTATTAAGAATATATTAAATGAGATGGCTAATCCGTCCCGTATTGCTATGCGGAGTCACAAGAGGAAGGCTAGGGTTATTTGTAAGTTTAGTCTTAAAATTATTTATATAAATGTAAAATCAGTCAATTAGATAACTATTAACATGGCATAGTTATGCCAAAGTGTCCCGACATCCAGAGTTCCCGCCAGTAAGATAAGAACAGAAACGTCTGGACCCAAGAAATGGGCGTGTCGAAGCGAAGTGTCGAATTCGCGAATTTTCGAATCTCGGTACGCTGTCGCGTGTCAATAAATTAATTAATAATGTTGTTCGACCCGTTGTGTTGTTATTTTGTTTGTATGTTTTATTTATTGCTATTAAAACCCTTCCTGTAAGTGTTGGTGTTTCCTTTTGTTTCTCTCAACTTCAATGTCACCCTGTATAGCCAGCCACTGGATTACATTCTACGTAAGCAATCGAGGGTAAGTGCCTGAAATTCATTCTCTGAACATACAACATTTCTAAGTTCCCACGTATTAATTAAAGTATAATGATAATTATAAACTCCCTTTCGAGAATTGAATAGTAAACTCTTTTGAAATCCAGACTCGTTATGATACTGGTCATAACGGTAGATAGATAATTAAAGAAATAACCCCTCAGGTTACAATACCGGGCACTAAGAAAAAAAAAATCGCAGCGTTTTGACATTATCAGGGTTTCTTTAGGACACTTTCAGGTTGAAAAGTTATTCAAATATCCCTAATTATGCGACATTTACACTTCGACAATTACCAACATTTTCACTTCGAAATTTTTTTTAATCAAAAGCCAATAATTTAGACTTGTAGAGAATACTTTGCGGTTTTCAAAACCCTGCTTGGATTTTCTGTACGACCATTATTTCCCGAGTAATTACTTGCCAAAGCCAAAAATGATTTTTTGCTTTGTTCAGCGACAGATGTTCTTCAATATCTGAGTTTAGGTATGAAAAAGACATCCTACGGACAAAATTCCTAACTGCTGATATTACCTTCAACCTTTGTTATTATTATGTTATTTATTAATAAATTCAACAGCTTTTAAAGATGTAATAAGGTTTCCATTTATATAACCAATAACTTCTTAATATCAGGCTGTTCCCAGATCTTTGAATTTCAAATTATCGTGTAATATTATTTAATGCGAATTTGCTTCTAATATTAGAAATACTGTGATTAATTTATTTTTATATGGCGTGCGTCTACGAGAGTTAGATTTGTTATCTACTTTGATAATGGCACATCATATAAAGCAAATTCATTTTTAGATTTTAGAACTTTGTATTCAAACAGGTTAAATCCGATGTAAATGTCAGAGAGTTTCATCCATTTGGAGAAGTTCCTTAATGAGATTTAGTTTTATAAAAAGCTGTGATTAGATTTTCAGAAATCTCGAGAGAAAATTCCACCAAAACATCGTTCAATTCATCTACAGAAATGTTTAGCTGTGACTTTTGAAGATTTTAATTGACCGGTAGTGGAAAATTTGACTTGGGTCTTGGGTAGTTTTAAATTTTCTATTTTCTTTTCACATTTTCTACTTTTGCGATAATTCTATGAATATTAAGAAAATGAAAGAAAATCTCAATCAAATTCAATGATATTATCTTGAATAACTAAATCAAAATTACATTTCTTTATCTCAAACTGAGAAATCTTATCTTCATCTGATAAGACGGCAATTAATGGAATTCTTATTAAATTGTTTTACACAAAATAACACTTGCACTGTACTATTCAGGCCCCCTTGAGCAAATTTCCATCCTTTATTATTGGAGCTGATACAGGACGAATATATACCCAGTGTGTTAGTGTCACCAGTCTCAAATTTGTTAACGCGCATCAGCTGAGATTTGATCTTGGCATTACTAGAAATTCTATTAGCGAATCCAAGCGCCGCTTTTGAAAAGATAAAAATGAATGATGCTGTTGCTCCGAAAATTTACGAGATAGTGAAGAAAGCTGTGAACGGAGACATAGAGAATTATGAAATCACTGTACAGGGCTCCAACAAAAAGGGAGAGGGATACCTGGGACAGATCTTCTTCATCTCCTTGCGAGATAAAACTACCGGTAAGCAGATGAGTATTGTAGTGAAGCAGGCTTTTCCAGAGCAAGCTTTAAGAGAGATTAACCGTATAAGGCAAATTTACTTCAACGAGATTTATTTCTACACGGAAGTATGGCCAAAACTGTTTAAATTCCAAGAGAGAATACCCAAAGAGAACCGTTTTAGCAACATAGCAAAATGTCTGGCTACCATTTCTGAGAAGAATTTCGAAAGACTGGCTCTGGAGGATTTGAAATGTGAAGGATTCGTGATGCACGACAAGAAAAAGATCGTGGAGAAGGAAAAGTTTGAATTTATTTTCAAATTGTATGGGAGGTTCCACGCAATGTCGTTCGCTTACAAAGCCTTGCACCCTGAAGATTTCTCTGAGCTAGCCGAACGATTTTATAGCATAAATGTAAATACGTTTGAGAAGGAAGGCTTCGTAGTTTTTTACAAATATGTGTATGAAGAGTGCTTAGAAGGTCTACAACCAGGTGTGGACGATGCAGTTATTGAAAAGTACAGGCATTACGTTGATGATGGAGTGAAATTATCTAAGGAGTGTTTGGTCAACGGAAAATACACTGCCATTATCCATGGTGACTGCTGGAGCAACAACATTATGTTCAAGTATGACGTAAGTTATTTTTACTAAATGTTATTGATACAAAACTTGAAATTTCTCAAGTAATTAGAGGCAGGCAGCAATTTGCAGTCTTCGTTTTCTCTATCTCTTCCAACCTTTTTGATCAAGACCTATTCTCCATTAAACATAGATATTCAAGTTCTTAAGGACCTGTGTATGACATCAGTTCCTAGTATTAAATTTTATATCACATCCGTGTTATTAGCTGTCGGTGCTATTTGTTATTATGAATGATTCCTTAGTGACCTACACAATTTGTCTTTCCTAGTATCAATAACACTATACTGCCTTATCTGATGATGTTTCTTTATTTTAGAAAACTTATTCCTATACCATTTATTTTAGCATTCTGGAAAGCTCACCGACGTAAGATTCCTGGATTTCCAGGCTGTCAGACTGGGATCTCCAGTCTGTGACCTCTCTTACTGCTTGTACTCTGGTGGTACGAAGGAAATCTTTGATGACCTAGATCGTTTGCTTCAGATTTACCATGATAGTCTTTCAGAAAACATTAGAGCATTTGGGTGTGATCCAGACGAACTATACCCTTTGAAAGCCTTAAAGGATGATTGGAAGGTGTATTGCCAGTGGGGTGTTTCGGCAGGTTTCTTGGTTTGGAGAGGAAAACTTATATACAACGACGAAGCCCTTGATTTGACTGACATGACAACGGAAGACGGTCAAAACGTTCAAAAGTTCATGGATGCTAAGTTCGATGAGAAGACTTTCAAGGAAAGGACCAGGGACATAATTTTACATATGTATGAATGTAATTATTTACTTTAATCGAAATTTAATGTATTTGTGAAATTGTATGTATCTATATTTTCAAGTTTCCCTTATAAATCCATGTCAACTAAAACTAAATTAATAAGACAATGCATTCTACAGGGTGTCTCACATTTAAATAGCAGGACTTCAGGAATCAGTAGAAGACCTCATTTTGAGTCTAAAAGTTCCTATATATATGGGTCCTAAAACGCTTCGTTTCTGAGATACAGGGCGTTCAATTTTATTTTTGTTTTATTTATTTATTTTTTAACTAAATAACCGCTGACAAAAAAAATCATCATGTTGCGGCGAAAGACTTAGTATTTGAGGGCAAATAATTTGACACAGAAAATCATCGCATATTAGTTCCAGTGGTGGAGATAGAGGGGTCTCTATGCATATTTTTATAAAAAAAAGTATAGCCGATTTGATATTTTGCAAATGTTTTCGAAAAATATGAAAGAGCATTCAATTTTACCCAGAAAAGGCCCTCTTGTCCAAAGTCGATAGGAGGTGGCGTTTTCAAGAAAAACCGAAAATACTGTTTAGAAGTCAAATTAAGAAAAACCGAAAATACTGTTTAGAAATCAAATCAGACTTGAAATGTCATTCTAATATTGACATTTGCGCTTATTTTATTATAGTTTCTAATTGTGTGTAGAGTATTAAAAAAAATTGCAACAAATTCAAAATGCCGTTTAAGTTTACGAACCAAGAATACGCAGATATTCACTTCATATACGGGTTTGCCAATGGGAACTCGGCAGAAGCTGCTAGGGAATATCGGAGACGATTTCCTAATAGAAGACAGCCGCATCCACACGTTTTTATTAATGTTCATCAACGTTTCGCTAATGACGGATTGAATCTGGTCCATAGGGATCGCAACATAATTAACGTTAATATTGGCAGAAATAGGAGGAATCAGCGAATCTTGCACGAATTTGACAGAGATCCCACGACGAGTACCAGAAAAATTTCCAGGATTATTGGTGTTTCCAGGTGCACTATTTCTAGAACATTAAGACGAGATCATAGACATCCCTACCACTTACAACCTGTTCAGGGTTTACGTCCGGGTGACGAGGAACATAGAATAGCTTTTTCTCGGTGGATTCTTAACTCAATTGAAAACGACGGAAATTTTTTATCACACATATTATGGACCGACGAGTCATGTTTTACTCGTCGAGGTGTGACAAATTTACACAATCAGCATGAGTGGGCACATGAAAACCCGCATGCAATCAGACCACGAAATTTTCAGCACGAATTTAGTGTTAATATTTGGCTCGGCGTTTATAACAATTGTCTTTTCGGCCCTTACATCTTACCTCAACGACTGAATTCTGCGAATTTCTTAGAGTTCTTAGAGACCGAGAGTGCCAACATGTGGGAGGAAATTCCTCTGAATTTAAGAATGCGAGCATGGTTTCAACTTGATGGCTGTCCAGCTCATTTTGGCCGAAATGTCAGGAACTGGTTGAACACCCACTTTCCCGAAAAATGGATTGGCCGCGGGGGTATCGTTGCATGGCCTCCCCGATCCCCTGATCTGACACCCCTAGATTTTTTCCTCTGGGGTTTTATTAAAGAGAGAGTTTATACCACTACTGTGGACACAAGGGATGAACTTATTCGTCGGATTCGGAACGCATGCAGTGAAATCAGAGACAATAACTTAATTCAAATGAGACGTTCTATTCAGCGTCGGTGTCAGTTATGTATCGAAGAAAATGGTTTACATTTCGAACATTTGCTTTGATGTAATATGGTTTTCGTTATTTATTTTTGTATTTATTTTCATTTAATTAATTAAAAACAATTTTAACCGAATTTTTGAACTACATATTTAATTTAGTTGTAACACAATGTTTAAAAATTATTATTTGACTTCTAAACAGTATTTTCGGTTTTTCTTGAAAACGCCACCTCCTATCGACTTTGGACAAGAGGGCCTTTTCTGGGTAAAATTGAATGCTCTTTCATATTTTTCGAAAACATTTGCAAAATATCAAATCGGCTATACTTTTTTTTATAAAAATATGCATAGAGACCCCTCTATCTCCACCACTGGAACTAATATGCGATGATTTTCTGTGTCAAATTATTTGCCCTCAAATACTAAGTCTTTCGCCGCAACATGATGATTTTTTTTGTCAGCGGTTATTTAGTTAAAAAGTAAATAAATAAAACAAAAATAAAATTGAACGCCCTGTATCTCAGAAACAAAGCGTTTTAGGACCCATATATATAGGAACTTTTAGACTCAAAATGAGGTCTTCTACTGATTCCTGAAGTCCTGCTATTTAAATGTGAGACACCCTGTATATAGGAACTTTTAGACTCAAAATGAGGTCTTCTACTGATTCCTGAAGTCCTGCTATTTAAATGTGAGACACCCTGTATATAGAATGCTATTAACATTACTATACAATATATGATACTTGAGAGCTTCTCTCCATAGTTAAAGCTTTAATTGTTTGTTCTTGGGCATTTTAATCTAAATGAAAACAAATCTCTACTGTTGACAACGGACATATATTAATATATTTTCTGATAACTCCTGATATGTACCAGATAAAACTTTACATATGTTTCCCAAAATGGTGTATCTTGGATTTTTTCCAACACTACATTTTTTCTTTTATCGTACTACTGACTGGGCGTATACTATTGGCATCGTATATATTTTTTTGTACATCATCCATTATATCAAATTGTTCATTTAGGGATAGTCCATGTGATTACAATCTACGGAATTGCGGAACTTGGGGTTCTCTAGTTTGTTTGTTACGTACTATTCTGAGCACTCGACTTATTGTCAAGCTCGGACAACGTGTCATTTGACAACGTCTTGTGTCGTAATATGGATCTTTACAATACTTCGTAAATCGTAAATAATAGAAAGCAGATCAATATTTTTAAGATTATGTCATACATTTGAATATTTTGAAAATAGTTGTTTCAATTTTCAAATATTTTTTTCATAACGTTATTTACCTTTCTGTATTTATATTTTATGATATTTTGTTTATATCTGATGAGACGTGACTTACCTCTCATTCAACTCATAACAGTTACAACGTTTCCGACTTACTTGCACTTTTGTATTGAGTGCATTCTGAGAGTATTTCCATCCTTTATTACTGGAATTGATAATATAGGACATTAATATCATCCAGTAACGAAGAGTCCCGGAATTTGCGTATGTTATAAATAAAATAGGGACATTTATTCTTATTAGGTACCTGTAAAAGTATCTTCTGACCTGAAATGGGTCTTGGTTAAGTCTTGATAAACTAATCAGGCGATTAGACTGTGAATATACTTTTATAAACTAAATCAGTATATGTACAGTTTGATAAATTAACCAAAGCTTAACGGAGAGTCAAAGTACCGAGCCTTAACGTATTAAACATGATGCCGAATCTAGTATTTCGTTCGTTTCAGGTGTTAACGCAATTTAATTTATATTAAGATATCAATCTATTATCATGTTAGTTAATAACATACTACAAAGATCTGATAGCACTTTATTATAAGTTTGGCACCAACTGGTCATCAAACATACGACGTGCTGTGATTAGGTACTTATCTCAGAACTTGTCAAATCAAACAACGTCAATACAATGGAATTTAGATATTATAAACGTAAGTATGCGTGTTTACTGGGTCCATTATTATATCAGAAATTTCGAAACAATCGAATCGAAAGTTATATTTATACATTTGATTACAAATCATTTTAATCAAATTTCTAACAAATTTGTGTGCAAACTCCATAAATTGAGCTATTTATATTGGTGGAAATTTTATTTAATATAATTATTTCGTAACTGGAAATTTTTACAAACAAGATGTTATAAGAAACAATTAAATGTACCTATTAAAATATTTGTATTCACAAAGAAAATGCAAGAGAAATGAAGCACGGGTAATAGTGCCTGAAATGCATAGGTACCTACCAGCTAGACAATTCCAGCAACATATTTAGTTACTTAGGCTTAATGCTTAGTTGTGGAATGGAAATTTTCTGTATACTGGTTACAATATAAGCAGTAGGAGTGACGGAGAGAGAAGTCCTTAATAGTAGGGCAAGCACCTGTTGAGCAAAAATTTCAATAAAGGTTTTATATCATATATTTCAAGATAACGGAAAGCTATCCTTTCGTTACGACATCGTTATATAAATAAATATCCTTTGTATTTATATGGATTGGATTATTTTATGACAGCTGTAATATTGGAAACATTGGAGTATTTTATCTACATCTGATAAGACGTGACTCAACTAAATTCTCATTCAGTTCTAGCATACCTAAGGGTTAATCCACACTATAATATCGATCACGGTTTGTTCTCGGTTCGATCTTGGTCTGGTAAAGTCTAATCATGTTCACATTATGCAGTCTGACTCAGTTCACGATTCAGTCAAGAACCGTCAATAATCGAAGTCGGATGTATTTGGCTCGCAATTAATAATAAAATTAACGTTATAATAGTTATTTATTTATTAAGTGTTTTAAGTAGCATTTAATATTCTCAAGTGGATAAAAGGCAATTAAAACACGAATGCAATACAACGTTTGATCCATTCAATTATCACATCAAAATCATATTTCTTACATGTATTCAATGAAACGTGGTAGGTTTTATTATACCTACTATGGTACCTACTATGGTACCTTGTTTATTATCAATTATTTAATAAACAGTTATATCTGAATTTGGTAAAATTGCAAGAAAGTACTTCTGTGTTTCTGTGACTGTTTTTGAAGAAGCTCAAGAAGCAATTTTCCATTTATTGCCAGCGAAATCCGGGGAACATTACGAAAAAGTGTTCGCCGAATTTAACGAATGGAGGGAAAAACGGAGAGTAATGACAATAAATCATGCTATCGTATTTTTAAAATTTGAAGAAAAACTATGCCATTTCATCCATGTGGTCGAAGTATTCGATGTTGAAAGCTACTAATTATAAAGGTTTACAAAAATATAAATATTGGAAATATAACAAGCTTACTGCTTATTTGAAGAGTGAATCTACACGATACAAAGCAAAAAAAGCTGCAGTATTGAAAAGAGTACATATTGAAGGATTTTCGACTGGGGCTTCCGATAAAGAATGATTAAGGTAATATATTTTTACCTTTTAAATGTTGTTAGGTATATAGTGAAGTTTGATTTATCTTTGGTTGCACTAATAGTGGGGGTTTCTGGTGCCTGATGATGCTGTGAATTGACAAATTGAAAATTAGTGACGTACAGGACGTTGGCAGTTACCTACTTGGTTCAATACCTGACAACAAGACGGGCATTTCAAGAAAATTTACGATTATAGAAGAAATGCTTTCCTGGTAGATTGGCATTTTTAAAATGGGACTAATCGGCAAACTCTTATAGCAGACCCCGTATGCATTTTTTATTATCTTGTTTCTATTAAAAGAGTTGCATTTATATTACAATATAAAAATCGATTCATCCTAGTTAATAAATCTTGCGAAACGTCTACTACCTACTTACGAATAGTTAGATTGAATGGATTTAAGAAAATTAAAAATTTTAATTTTTTTTTTATTATGAAAACCCTTATAGCCTACGTGTGTGTGTAACAAAATTTACTTAATTTTTGCCACATAATGGGCTTCTGGTTTTTCTGTACGCCATTAATGAACACTGCATAGGTGCCCGCAATGAAATCGATTGAATTTCTTATAAAAGTTTAAAGCGTACAATTCTACATAAAAATGGTCTCTTGACTTTTTCTTGTACTATTAAAATTAACAGAGTTAGGGAGGCTGGCAGTTAAGGGAAGATTTCAGAAATTTAAAAAAATCCATAACAAGCAGAAAAATGAATGAATTTTGTAATTTTTTTTTCAATCTACTCTAAAAAATGTAACTTTTATTTTCAGAGAAATAGATATAATTTTTAATTTTTAATAGATATAATTTTTAATTTTTAATACGAAAGTATTAAGTAATTTCAAATTTTTAATCGTTAATTTTAATGATGTAACAAAACTAAAACAATTTTTTTTCTATAATATTCGATTGATTATTTAAAATAATGAAAAGTTGCCTTCGATTTTTTTTTACGTTTGTTTTTTAGACAGATACAAATTTATTTCCTTTTTATATTTTGAATTTTATTTAGCTCCTACGACACTGCCAGGACAAAGATAAAAAATCACGTTCGCTTTGTCGCACTCATGGTACCGAAGTTGTGGACAACTCGTATGCTTATGACAAAGATAGATTATTTCGTTCGCTATGTTTTTTTAAATTATTGTATACTCAACATTCATTGTTGATCTCAAAATGGTAAATACATATTAATAACAACCACTAATACTTTTCGTTTTAGCCTAAAACGGATGCAAACTAACCCACATGTTTACCCCCAAAAATAATATTTCCGTGATAACTCGTTTTGTTATTTCATTGTTTATAAAATGATGTCAAAATAAGTAAATAAGTTCATAACATTATGGGCCCGGAAATACTTCCTTTCTGATAGATATAAAATTTAAAAAATCCTGTTTTTATAAATATTTCGGAAACGATTTAAGATATTTGAGCTTTGGTGTATAGTACAGTGGCAGTGTAATATCTTAAATCGTTTTCGAGATATTTAGAAAAAACCGGATTTTAAATTTCTTTCGTCATCTATCTCAGAAAGGAAACATATCCGGACCCATAATGTCATGAACTTATTTACTTATTTTCACTCCCAGAACACGTCCTTAAAATATTTCCCTTTCCTGCCGAAAGTGTATAAGTTATAATAAAACTAGTTTACAATATATTTTTATTTTGTTGCCTTCATGACCTACCTACCTACTTTCTGCAGAATATTACACAAATTCTTATTTCAAAATATTAATTTTCTCAGGAACAAGAAAAATAATGTGGCAAGACAAAATAATTTCAAAACCTGTATACTCTTCTCTTTTTATAATGCATATACTTCAAGCCTGCAATTTTTTGTTATGCGTCGTTACACACGTGCCTACACAAAAAAAATATGACACGCCCTTAATTACACAGGCCAACAAGGAAAAAATTCCAGAGATCAGACACTGCGTTTCCGAAGGCATTTGGCGCGCTGAATCCGAATCTGGCCTCAGAATTGATCCATCACCCTAGGTTTCCGAGATATTCTAACCTAAAAGTGCAAAAAACACGTATTTTTGCTATTTTCAAGGTTATGTAACTTGGCGAAAAAAATTTTTTTTCTCAAAACTGAAAATATCATTGGAAACTACTATCTTTCCCCTTCAAAACGCATTTTTTTATTTGTAAAAAGCTTTATTTTTCGCGGAGATATCGTCGATTAAAGATGATCAGTATAGCTACCTTATTACCATGGCTCGACCTATAACACAATATCACTAAGCGCTACGAGCCTTAGAGGGCTCGCAGCGCTTAGGGTTATTGGGTAATAGGGCTTGAAGTTAACCTTCCTGACGATTAGGGCTCACAGCGCTTAGTGTTGTGGGGTTATAGGGCTTGGGATTAACCTTCCAGACATATAGGGCTTGGGGTTAACCTTCCTGACGATTAGGGCTCGCAGCGCTTAGTGTTATTGGGTTATAGGGCTTGAAGTTAACCTTCCTGACGATGAGGGCGCTCGCTCCGCTTAGTGTTGTGGGGTTATAGGGCTTGGGGTTAACGTTCCTAACAATTAGGGCTAGCAGCGCTCAGTGTTATGGGGTTAGCCATGATGTAATAATATAGCCATACTGGTCATCTTAAATTGACGATATCTCCGCGAAAAATAGAGCTTTTTCCAAATAAAAAAATGCGTTTTGAAGGGGAAAGATAGTCGTTTCCAATGATGTTTTCAGTTTTAAGAAAAAATTTTTTTTCGCCAAGTTACATAACCTTGAATATAGCAAAAGTACGTGTTTTTTGCACTTTTAGGTTAGAATATCTCGAAAACCTAGGGTGATGGATCAATTCTGAGGCCAAATTCGGATTCAGCGCGCCAAATGCCTTCGGAAGCGTAGTGTCTGATCTCTGGAATTTTTTTTTTTGAAATTTTGTCGGCCTGTGTTATTGATGCCTCCCAAAATTCCTATTAATAGTCCACCGGCTCGCCCCTTTAAAAGTAGTATGCCCTTTAGGTTGAAAAACCTTTATCTTACGTCGAGTGTACCTTGAATAGATGCTTCATTCCTGACTATCGCTAATCCAGAAGCATATACTGGCCATTGTATGAGGCGCACTTCAACAGCTTCATTGGCCAATAAAGGTGCTGATCTTACAACCATCAAACGGCATGGTGGATGGAAGAGCTCCTCTGTAGCAGAAAGTTGTGTTGAGGAGTCTATATCAAACAAACTTGATATTGCAAGGAAAATCCAAGGAAAATATAGCTGTCCCTTACAAGAACAGATATCGGTAACTTGTGCACAATCTTCACAAACTTCGGCATATATTATGCGTTTCCAAAACGATCGCAACAATGCTACAAGGGTTGTCATTAACGGAAATAAAGTTAAATGTGATAAAACAAAAAACCAAATGTTATGTTAATAAGAAAATAAATTAAATTTGACTTATTATCTAAGTTTTTCATTATTCTACTAGTGAAATAAAGTTACTTTCCATAAGTGGATAAAGAATCAGTTTAGACGGTTCATGGATAAAAGTCCGATTATAAGGTGATTGTGGATAAAAGTATTTAATTGCTTTTAATATTTGCAGCAGAAAAATGTTATTGAACTTTTCGATCGAAGAATTATCTATTATATCTCTTATTCTTGATGAAGAAGATAATATCACAAAATTTCTTCGAGACTGATCGTGACTGGAATGGGATTCGACCGGTACCTACTTGACTGTTACAGATAGAATGCACACATTGTTTCTTACTCAATAACATTTTACCAGATCGAGGTAGGACCGAGAACGAATCGTGATCGACATTATAGTGTGGATTAACCCTAATAATACGTTTTCGACTTATTTGTGCTTTTTTATTTATAGTGCGTATAGGAAATATTTTAATCTTTTATCATTTATTGGAGATGATAATACATTACAATCATATAAGTCGATCACGCTGTTAGTTTCTCACTAATCGTCAAGTTATTACCACGCATTTCGAAGATTCGGCTTTGGCCTTACTTTTAAATTCTGTTAATGAATGCAAGCGCCGATTGTGAAGAGATAAAAATGAATAACGCTGTTCCGCCGAAAATTTACGAGCTCGTGAAGAAAGCTGTGAACGGAGACATTGAAAATTACGAAATCAGTGAGCAGGACTCCAACAAGAAAGGTGATGGATTTCTGGGTGAGGTCTCCTTTATCTCCCTGCGAGACAAAACCACCGGTAAGCAGTTGAATATTGTGGTGAAGCAGGCTTTTTCCGAGCAGACTGTAAGGGAGTCCAATCCTATAAGAGATATTTATCTCAACGAGACCTACTTCTATACGGAAGTATGGCCAAAATTTTTTAAATTCCAAGAGGGAATACCCAAAGCGAACCGTTTCAGCAACCTAGCACAATGTCTGGCTACCATTTCGGAAGAGAATTTCGAAGGACTGGCTCTAGAGAATTTGAAAAGTGAAGGATTCGTGATGCATGACAAGAGAAAAGTCGTGGAGAAGGAGAAGTTTGAGTTTATTTTCAAGTTATACGGTAGATTCCACGCAATCTCGTTCGCGTACAAAGCGTTGCATCCTGAAGAATTCTCTGAGCTAGTCGAAGGATTTTATGGCGTAAATGAGGAAATGTATGAGAAAGAAGCCTTCCTGGATTATTGCAAATATATATATCGACAGGGCTTAGAGGGTCTTCAACCAGGCGTCGACGACGCAGTTATTGAAAAGTACAGGCATTACGTTGACGATGGTGTGAAATTATACATGGGCTGTTTAGTCAACGGCAAATACGCCGCCATTAACCACGGTGACTGTTGGAGTAACAATATGATGTTCAAGTATGACGTAAGTTATTTTTATTAGATTTTATTGTCACAAAATTTGAGGAAATTGTTATTCTGACTGCAATATGTTTTATTTATTTTTATCAATGAAGGTAAAAATAACAAATTTAATTGACGTTCTTCCTAATATTTTTGAAAGTAACTGTTGAATTTAACAATAAGTAAATCTAACCATTCATAATGAATTGGGTAAATATTATTATCGTATAACACTCTTGGTACATCATTTAATGTCATACTTGTCGCATATTTATTCCACTTTTTTCTGACATATAACTGGTATGACACTGACATTTGATATATATTGACGTAAATTAAAGATACCATTTATTATTTTACCTACGACCACTACTGTAAATACTTAAAAACGCACCGTCTGCGATCAATGTAAGATTCCTATTACGTACGGTAAAAAATCGCACAGTTTTCCTAGCAACCGCCTAGCAACAGCCAATACAATACTGTTTGTATTGACCGTTGCTAGGCGGTTGCTAGGAAAACTGTACGATTCTTTTACCAAGCTGTGCGTTTTTTTTTACCGTACGACGTAATAGGAATCTTGCATTGATCGCAGACGGTGTGTTTTTAAGTATTTAAAGTAGTGGTCGTAGGTAAAGTATAGTACGTAATACGTGGTGTAATGCAATTACGCACTCATAGAATTACGCACTCGCCGCTACGCGGCGTCGTGCGTAACTTTTCCATTCGTGCGTAAAATGCTTTTTACAACACTTATTACGTAATATACTATTAC